CCGGACGTGATTTACCACCTGACCATCGACACGCACCTCGGCCCGACGGGTGACCTGCGCGGATCGGTCGGCCGTCGGCGCGCCCCCACGCTCCGTTTCGGGTCCGGCTGGGTCGTGACACGGCTGAGTGCCCCACTGCCGAACAATTGCCGGGCGGACGCCCGGGGCCGTTTTAGACCATTCGACACCGCCGGCCGCGACGCCCGGCTCGGATGACGACCTCGTTTGGATTCCTTCCGTCCGACGGGTATCGTGACCTCAGCGGAATGTCAATGCGTTTCAGACACGTCTGGTGGTGTTGGACCGACACGACCTGACCCGAGTCGGGTGGCCGTTAAATGGAGGGCGGGACGGACGAGTAGTTTTGACGGAGCGGCAGTCGGCGCCGACCGGGGTTACTTGAACTGGCAGTGGGGTAATAAGTGTCACAGCTGAGCTGATCTACTCGAATAAGTCACGAATGGTGTGCGGACTCGGTGTGAAATTTCAGCTGATGTTGGTAATTTATTCCGTTTTTATTTTCCACCTACCTTCAGACTAAGCGGCATGCAATCAAAATTATACCAATGTTTCACTTGAATCTGGAGTTTTAGAGGTTTATGTGCGTACTTTGTAGTTTAACTATGTTCCAAGACCTGTAAAGTCAATCCTTTTCCTGGAACACTACAAATATCCGCACCTACAAGCAAAGCATGCCCGCGGTTCACGATTGCCACCTCCCTCACTATCGAAGCAACACATACCACACAACTGCTGAATTTTATTTCACCATTTCGTCCTATACATTTTATCAATATCATTGTTGCATATATCGACACCATAATAAAACAATCGAATGAAAAGCTGGTCGGTCTGGCAGCAACAGTTGCAGCGGCGCCGGCGAGTGCGGACGCTGGTCGTTGCCGCGCTCCCGCCGGAAGTCGAGCGCCGGCCGCGCGCTTCCTGCGGCCATTTCCCGCGCTTTCCAGGGGCTATAGCGCGCCGCGGCCGGCCGGAAAGACGTTCACGATTATATCGATTGTTGGCCTAACGGGCCGCCATGGGGCGACGCCGACAGACATTGGCTATTGATTCAGACGTGGGTTGGCACGTTTACAGCACGGGTTAATACTGTTATAAACGGTGCTTGGATTGGCTGGTGGAATATATAGTTCATCGTAAAGGCTGTGCAGAAAGTTTTAATCAATATTTGAAATAGCACCGCCGTTTATTACAGTTTTTAAGGGGTAATACTTTTGCCATATTTTGTTATGGAGGAGGCTTATTTCGTCATACAAAAAAGGCGTTATCTGTAGTGAATAACATCTATGTATTGTCTATGTCTATGTTTTTTAACACATGTTTTTATGTTATGTTTTTTAACACATATGTTTTTTTTTAACTGTCGACATGGACATGAAGCTGTTTTCCATCAATTTTGAAGAAGATTTCTTCTCGGCTGGTGAAGGCGGTTATTTAGATTGATCGGTTCTACATATATGCATCCTCGCATTTCTCGTAGCCTGCAGGCTTCTTGACCGTGACCGATTCTGGTGTAGCCGAAAATCGCACGCCGTATCCATCAAACCAACTGCTTCGAGGTGCATTCATCCACGGCCGTAGAGCCATCATTCGTCCTCGGTTTGGCGGTGGATGAGGCGACTGGTAAACGGCAGTGAGGCGGAGGTCCGGACAACTGCTGTTCAGACTCACTCCCAGCCTTCCATCACATAAACAACCGAGTTCGCCGAGCGGCGGCGCTGCTGAACCACCGCAAACGAGGAAAAACTCGGCGGCGTCGCTGGCGAGATTCATCATCGGCAAATTGTGTGTCATATTTTCCACCGCCATTACTTAAAGAAAAGTCGTTCTTGTCGGTATCCGGTCGGCTTTCCGGAGTGCTGTCAGCCAACCGGAATTCGTGATTTCCTCTCTGGCGGCGGTGCCGGCCGCTGATTGGCCGGCGCGACCAGGCCCCGCCCCGCTGATCGATGCCGACGATGAGTGATGCGGCCGACGCGTCGGTGCCGACGGCCGCGGCGGCGGCGGCTCGCCAGTGGCACCCTAGGCGAGCGGACGGGTTTGAGCCAGCGCGCCGTTCCGGATCAGGGTTGGAGCAGGCGAGAATAGCCGCTGAGGCGCTGGGGACTGGCGAGCGAGGACTGCGGAACGTGAAGAGCTCAAGAGGAAGCCGAGTCACTGTGACGAGCAGCCATGCTGGATCTGAAGAGCCCGCCGACTCCGCTGGCCGGAGATTACCTGCCGCGCGGCACTCCGCTCACCAACCTGTCCATGCTGTTCTCAGGTCAGTGGTGTGTGCCGGGGTAACCAGAGGTCATCACACAATGGTCCGTCAGGGTGTCGACCGTCGGAAGGGGTTGTGCTTAGCCAGTGGTGTCGCAGAGTTGGTTGAATTTTAATTTTGTCTAGTTGATAGGCTAACAGGCAATTGCTTTGCTGGTTCGCTGGTTCGCTGTTGATGTTCGTAACACGGCACTTCGCATTTTCTGGTTGTACAGACGACTGGAGGACTGAGCAGATATTTTCTTCTCTCTCTCTGCATCAGTTACAAGCGTTATAGCCTCGATGCATAATTTTCAGTGTCTTGTGATATTTCAGTGCAAATTAATCCACCCTCAAAGGGCTCTAAGCTCTGTGTTTGTTCTCTAACACATTCACAAATATACAGCTACAGAATGATAATTCTTATCCATCTGGAATGTCCCTTTTGACTGAGGTTATTCGCTTAGCCTTAAGACCGTCGTGTGTAAAGCAACAAGCCAACGTATCAACATTCATCGCCATTTCTAGCTACGTGCAAAACTCACTGTTTTATTAACATTTCGTCCAACATCTGTTTACCGGGGCAGAGATCACAAACCTAGTTTTTTTTATTTGAGGTTTTGCAATGCAGCCTGAGCCGACGTCCGACGGGCGTCTTACGAAAATTTATGGCGTGTGTTCTAGAGCCATAAGGCGTCACTGCGAATGACACGCAATGTTTGAACTCGCTCAATCGTTTCACTGCAAATGTCCAGCGAGCATTGATATGCATACGTGCAAAGAATAATTGTGGGTGCTACTGTTTCTGTCATGCTCTGCTTGTGATGCTAGCGAACGCCATACGAGCTGCTTAGCTCATACACTACTAACACTACTGATTGTGGGATGCCTTACCTCACCTTCTTGATTGATTAAATTCATGTCACCTGTTGTATGTGTGTGTGTAATTCCTAAACTTGTCTCAACTCTCATTGAATCAAAGTAAATCACCTTTGTTCAAAGGAAACCTATATTAATACATAGTAGGTCATGATGTTGCATGCACATTGCAGACCCATTGTGAGGCTGCCTGATGCATGGCATTTCTTCGTAGTTGCCAAATTTTATTAACTATGGTCCATTGTAGACTTTTACTGCTTTAAATAGCCTTGTGCTCTCAATTCTTTTTTACCATTTTTTATGGTCATCATCAGTAATCTTCAGCTGGTGAGTTCAGCAGGAACAAGACTCGTTTTCAACATCATGCTTGTCAACCTTATCAACTTATAGCTCCCGTCCTTATGAAGGCAGACGAAACGTGCGCAATGTGCAGTGTAGACCATGCAGGATCTGCAGTTGTTTATGGTTAGCTTTGGTATGACATGACACTCAGATGCCGTATTTCATGTTAACTCAAACATGCTGCGTATTATAAGTTGATAATTGAAATTACAATCGTGTTTGAAACAGAATATAAAGCGAGCTGCTAAGACCCCCGAGCTTATAACGCTGCCGCTAGAGGTCTCTAGTAGGAACGCCTGCGATGATGCTGTGCCGCATGGCTTTAAGCCCGACTGCAGGCGTCCTATACCGAATCAAGGCGCAAGACATGACCATTTGTCATCCGGAGCGAATTTACAAATGCTGTTGCCAAGTCTTGAGGCTTACTTATGAAGTTAACATTAATTGTTTTTCCTTTATTTTAGTTTTCCATTTATCAATGCGGTGAAATACCTAAAATAAGTGACTTGCTATAAGTATCTATAGTAAGGACGACAATTATATGTAACGTAGCGTCATATCGATTCGCGCTCGAAGCTAAGCTTAAAAAAGGATGCATTTCTGAGATTTATAGGTTTTGTTTACTTATAACTTTTCGACAAGAACAAATGAATTACAGTCACTCGTCGTTATTGTAATTCGAAAATTAACCTTCCTCCACCCGTCCTTCTTGCGTTAAAATTTTCGTGAACCATCCTAAATATATGAAATATATCATACCATCATGTTTCTAGCTTCTAAAAGCCCGACTGCTACAGTCAAAGCTCATAAATGTAGGACTTGTTTTACAACCACATACTGCCTGGCCCTAGCCTCTGGAACTCCCAACATTTGACAAACTGCCATCGGCTCCGGCCATTCGACAGTCCAGCGGTCGCGCTAGGCCGGCGGTGGCATAAAATCACAGCCAGTGATGTGTAGCGCCCTTCCTCCCCTGGCTCAACGAGGTCCAACGGAGCGAACCCTGTCAGAGTCGAGAGTCACGCTCATTTGTTGCTGGACCACTGTTTTTTCAAGGATGGTCGACGCTAAAACCCGAACACAAACCCTTCTGAAATTTACATATGAAAACGTTCGTTATGGTTTAATGCTTGAATGTCATTAGTCTAAGATGTCGAAGAGAGGAGTAAAAACTACGATGAACACATGAATACGAGTTACGACTGTGATATTTAAACTGCACTCTGGTAATAATAATTACTGTTTGCATTCAATGTCATAACGTTTTTCGTACCTATGCTTCGTAAAAAGTTTCCAGTTCTTCTTTAGTAAGTCTTTTCATACTCTTTATAAACCCTTTACAATCAATGCCCTCCGTATAGTTAACTATTCTGCGAGTCAAAAGATGTTGTCATGCAAGTACTTGTGCATCGTGCACCGCATATTTCCGAATCGAGGAATATGGACGTTGGTATGGTGATACGTTTAGTGCAAATTTCACTCACATCACTACCAATTTTGTGTTTCTTTCATTTCAGATCCTGCTTACAAGGCGGCATGGGGAGCTCACACTTCTCAAGCACAAGGTGAGTGGCTCCCTTCTCAGTTCGCTTCGCGCGACCATCACGCATGCACTCGTCTTGTTTCTCACGCGGAAAACTTTATTGAACTTCCGCCTATGTTGTTCGATGAATTTAAGCACCGTCATTAATAGGTATTTCATCGGATTGACGTCCGATCGAGTGTTACACCTCACCAACTGACAAAGTTGTGAAGCACCCTCGGCCGGCCCTCGGCGAGTCTCCGTCTGGAGGCGGTGCAATCACGCCGTGTCCGAGTTAACCTCATCTCCCCAACACCGTTCGGCAATCAGCGACCGCTCTGCCGCCGCGCGCCGGAACCGGCCGCAAAAATCAATAGCGCCGCCGCCGGCTCTCTGACCAAACACGGCTCTGCGGCTCTGCCGGGAGGCGCCACTCCGCGACCCGTCACCTCCCCGGGTGTCTCTGCGAGCCCGCTGCCGCTACTGTCCCTCTAGTGTCCCCGCTACTGCCGTGACAGCTCTGACTCCGCTCACCATCGAACCGACTCGAGTGCCGTTGAATTTCATCAATGGATGTATCGGGAGCGTCGATTTCAATATCTCTCCATCGGCCGACAGCCGGTTGGCGTCGCGACGCGCTGGGCCGTGCGCGACTCCTGTTTGCCCGAGCAGCGGGCCGCGAAATCCGACAAGAAAAGTCTTTCGCGGTGCGCCGGCGCGAACGGTGAACAAACGTCGGCCGCCGATGCCGGCAGAGCGATTGACTGGTGACGGGCAGAGCGAGGAGGAGGTAGAGGGGCGGAGGAGCCGCCGGCGTGACACTGTTGAGCTGTCAAAGCGGCGAGAAGGGTGAGGGCGTGTTGAAAACGACGCCAAGACGAGAAGAAACATAAAGTTTTTTTTTCTGTGTCAGCTAAACCTTTTGCGTTAGTTTTTACAGTAATAATTACGACTAAATATAAAAACACATTTGATGAAAATTGTTAAAAGTATTGAAGCTGAATAAAACGTAATCATAAATGACTAGGTGATGAGTATCAATGCCGTTTTCTTGTGCAGGGTTGTGACAAAGCAGTGCCTCTCCGCCATTTTCTTCTGTTCATTTTCAAGCCATGGCGACATTACGACAAAAAATCTCCGCTCCCCGCATCTATCAGCCTACCGCAACATCTCCGCAACACGCCCGCGACTGTTACAGCCCTGGCGCGGGGATGATGCTCCCGGGTCGACATTCATTAGCATCAGACGGGCCATTTGTAGCCGAGGAACCGCTGACGACCTGGGCGGGACCGCTGTCTGTGGGGGGCGGCTGCCTGACATGGGCACAGACGGGGGTGAGGGACTGATGGGGACTGACCGAGTGGGGGATCCACTGCCACTGCCGTTATTCAGGGCTGGGGGTATAAAGTCAAACTCATTGTCCATGAAAGAGATGGGTGCTGAATTTATGGGTTTTCTTTTTATGATGATACGTTTTATTTGAGCTTTCAGCAGACGTATCTGTTGAATAAGAGAATAGCGACGTAAAATCCTAAGCTGGGCTGCTGAGTACTGTGAAAATTCTAACATCTGGCAATAACTTCCACAATCCAAACCTTTCTGCGCGTTTTAGCTGTTGAAGTTAAATGGTGTAACTCATATTTTGAGCCCGATGTCGCTCCGACATAAACTTTGCGTACATCTTTGACTCGAAGCAGTTAACCACTGAAACCTCCACCGAAACTACCACTCGACTGTCGAAAGATGGACTCGACTGCCAAAAGACTCCGTCATTCCTCTTGCTCTCTGTTTCTATGCCTCCCTGAGAGCTGCGGCCGGCGGCTGTCCTGATTGCCTAGATGCCGGTAATGCTGTTGATGTTGCTCGTTACCAATCCTACCACCACTGCCGTCATGGCTCTCCGCCGCCGCCGCCGCCGCCGCCGCCACTCTGACGCGCCTCGGTAGCATCGTTAGCGCACATTATCGGCGCTGAATGGGATCGCCGCCAGTTACTTTCAATTCTTCCTCTCTGCTCGCCTCCCCCGGCGGCTCTTGTTAGTCGTAATTCATGTGTGAATCGCTTTGATGGCTACATATACCCAATTTACGGTGGATGAGCATTGTTGGCGGACGGGAAGGGTCCGCCGCCGCCGCCGCCGCCGCCGCCGCCCCCGGCCAGATTAAACAAATTGAATCTGGGCATAACGAGTCGATTCATTTGGCCACTGTCAGCGTTCAAAGGCTCGCCGACAGAGACTGACCCGGATAGTATTGTGTGGCCTGATCCAGTTATCTTGCAAACAGCCAACTACAGACGTTTGGTCCCCCAGCTTGCGACAAGTGATATGAAGAAGGCTATTCATGCGATGAAAATGGTCAAAGTGGATGTGTGCTGGCGTTTTCACGGTTCGTTATGATATTAGGTCTTTTGGCGTTGCTAAAAAGATGTTTGAAATTCACCAAACGACAAGCTAAGGCGATTGTTTTTTTTTTTTACAAAAAAAAATGTCGGTAAAAAGCAAAAATTGAAGAGATTTTTTTCAGTCATTTCAAAGCTCTATAAGACACAAAAATGGCAATTGATAGCACTTCATCGTGTTCCAGACAGTGTGTCGAGACGATTTCAGCAACAGCTGACGTGCTTTATCTACTCTTGTCCATTTATCTCGCTAATTCCCTCCAGTATAGACTAACCGACAGGAGACCACCCCCTCAGTTCAGAGGTGGAATGCAGCTCTGGCCAGCTATCATTTCCCGGGTCACGCTGAGCTTTCTGCTGTCGGCAGCTCACTCTGACGCCGCCACCCCGCTCAGACAGAATGGATGACGGTGAATCACGACAGCATACAGACCAACAAAGACGGAACGCCCCGCCAAACGAGGCCCCAACACGGGACATGGTGTCTGGTTCACCATACGACCTCACCGTCCATACGGGAAATTCTTGTGAAAACGGTTACCTAAAATCCGACCCTGTAATTGGGGAGACTGAAACATATTTGTCATCATTTTCTTCTGCAAAAAAGTCTGCTCAGCAACTTAAATTGGATGTTCTATAGCCTTTCTGCAGCACATCTATCAAACTTACCTCTACCTTTAGTTGCGTGCAATGCAAAAGTTTGCTGAGGATTGCGGATGACAACGTTTGTTTTGCAACCAGCTATTGAGAGTGAGGAAAAGTCAATGTTTATTTTTTTATATGTTCAATTTTTAGTTTGTTTTTTTTGAAACAATAACATGTAGTATGTGCACCTTTATCTAATTTGTTAAACACCTGTGATTTAAAAATGAAGAACAGTGCTTCACTATATTTTTTTATACCTGAAAGTCTAAAAACTTTCTACGTCAAATTGTTTGAGATATACCTAGCTTGCCCGTTCGTTTGGCGATTCCTTCAAAGTGGTTTCTGCTGCGAATGCAGTGCTCGCCTGGCCATCGTGGCCCCTGATTCGTCGATCGATTTGGCGCGAAGCCCCGGCCATGAACACCCCGTGCAAGCTGCATGACTGATTTATAAACCGGTGTGGTTACCTTGCTTAAAGCGACGAAAGCCCAATACCGGACTGCCCATTGGATCCGTGCAGCGTACGTCGCTGTAAAATGGCCGATAAGGACAGACGTTTGGCTTTGTATATCTACCCTAATGGCTGACCTAGGGCTATGTTGGAACGTTCCTGGCAGCGATATGAACCCGCATGGCGATTTGTGCTGAAATGGCACGGTTACGGCTGGATTTATTTCGGGTTATAGCGGATACTTTCTGTCGTTATTATTCGTAAACCGCACAATTTCGATGGTCAGCATGGACTACATGCAGATATTTACGTTGAGGGTAAACGTTGTCAATGGTGTATGTACGCTGTACTTTCGACGTCATTTGAGATCGCTTTCTTGGCGTACTACGGCGGTAATGAGGCGCTCATTTCGCTGTTATCGCATGAAATCGTAGCATCAATGTGACGATTTTCAGCAACAGCGTGCGTTAGAGTCCGTACCCGATGGGGCACTGAACATACAATTACACACCTTTGGAATGGTCAGTGTTTGATAACGTGTTGCATACCACATTAAGGACAAAGGGAAGAATGTTGTGCCGCATTCCGCATAGAAATACTTTTAGTTTTGGTCTGATATGGGTCATGGGATTTCTTGACGCCGTGCTTTCAAAATCTGAAAAGCAATAGTGGGGATTGCTTGACCTACCAGCCTCCTAACGAAATAAATTCAAGCCCAAATACCACCGTATTTTTGCCCTCCAACTTCGTTTGATGTTCCGCCCTCACATTAATTGATTTGTTGTTCTGTTTCAGCGTATTCACACAACAGTCTCTCGAGCGTGGCCAAGTCGTCATTGGAGGCGGGCCATGCACATCTCAGGCAACCAGGTGAGGAAACAATAAAACTGACGGGAGCTCGCGATGAGAAAGGAGGGAGGGGGGATAAAATGCAGTTCTTGCAGTGTTATTAACGTTCTTAGTGTGTCGATCCGAACCAGACTCCTGTAACCTTCGCTATTTTAGGCATGGGGAGGATGCAGAGAACAACATTATCTTACTTGATAACCGTTCTTCGTGTAACCTTACCAATCACATGACTGAGCCTTCTGGCCAGTCTCCAACACCGACCAGCCTCCCTAACCAGCCCCCCCCCCTTCATCCCCCCGCACCTCTCTTTCCGCCGCGCTGCGCTGCGATCTCGGCTCGGCTCCTGATTGGTGTCCAGTGCCGCCCTCCATCCACCCCCGTAATCAGCGGTGGCCGATCGGTCCCACCGCCACAGAGTAGGAGGTAATGGACGCCCACTATGGCGCTCCGCTCGGCTGAAAGGCCGACATGCCACGCCGGAGGAGCGGCTCACTCCCGTTAGACGATCGGCACTCCCTGCCTTAGTTGGAAAGGGAATATGTCATCAGCTTGTTGGATACTTTGAGTGGGAGATTGAAAAGGCAAAATTGTTAAAATGTATGAAATAAGAAACCGATACCAATCACTAAAAGCAGGATGTGCGCTCTGGTGGAATCTGGATCAATGCTGGATACTTAAGTCTCAAAGAAATAGAGGCTCCGTCAACTAACTATGGAAGACGCCGTTAATTAGGTAACCAGCTGACCTGACCGTCAGTCGTCCCAGCAGGGGCTCGCGGTCGGCTGGCGGGCCCAATCGATGGTTCGTGCCGCCGTCCTCTCCGTGACTGGGTCGGTCCCCATAACGATCCCGGGCAGTCCGGCCGGTCACTCGATAGGCCGCTAACAGTCGCCAAAAATGGCCACCCGGCGCCACGTATATGAGCTAGGGGCGTGGGGTGGACTGGGAAAAGGCTGGGTTATCGCGAGCGGTTATGTGCGTAGGGGTGTGGTATGAAAGGCAAGGCAGCAAAAGGTATTGGCGAAGATGTAAGAGGTGATTCATTCATGATTTATTTGCGCACGACTGAAAATACTTTGTTGCATTTTTAATCGTCTCGTAGGCATTTCTTATTTGGAAAGGAAGTAACGGTGCGATCAAAATGTGACAATTTTAATAGTGACAGACGGGGTAGTCAAATCTTCTAAGCTGTTCAAAATTAAAAGTAGGTACCTATCGCATGTTGTTCCTGTCATATACGCTGATGCAACATCAAAGTCGAGGACTCGAGGCGTCGCTCGGAGCCGGACCCCGTCCGTCGCCAGCCCCTCTCCCTCACTCTCTCCCCTCTCTCTGTGGCTCTCCTCTCTCCCGGCTAATGGAGCCAAACAGAGACCGACTGCCTTTCAGGCCGGCGGTGGCGGCGGAATGGTGTTGAGCGGGGTATTAGCCACGCGTCAGCGCGCCGCCCTTACTGCCGCCCCCGCCCCCGCCCCCGCCCTCGCTGCCGTCTGTGGCCATTACTGGGCTAGACGAGTGACGAATAGAGTAGACGGTAGTCGACGGCAGACGGAGACGACTGGAGAGGGATAGACGGTTAACGATGGATGGGGATATACGGTTGACTATCGGCCTGCTGAGATAGGGAATGGTGGCTAATGAACTAAGTCCACGCCAGCGTATGGGCACAGTGATTAGCAACGTAAGATTAATTCGGGGAATATTTGTTTCTGGTCCCTAAAAAGCTGTTTCTGGCACCTAATTGCTGATCAGCCCCAAAATGCTTATTCGACCCTAATATCTGAATCTGGCACCTACTTGCTTCCACACAGCCTTAAGTTGCCAGATCGTCTAGTTGAACTCCGTATTTGCTGTTTGCTGATTCAGCACCAAAACCAAAACATCCAGCACCTATTTTATTCCACGTTTGCCTACCTAATTCGCGTAATCTTCCTGATTTTATGTATCCTAACAACATGAACGTTGCATTCGGTGATGTCAAGTGCCATTTTCGCCAGTGGAGATAATGATTAATGCCATTTCTAGCCAAAAGAGAATCACTAGCCAGCTATGGTGCAGCATAGCAAGACGCTCCTATACCAGCCCGCTATGTAGAGACTAGAGATTACTGCACCCTCAGCCATTTTAACGTGAAAAGTTTGGATCCGTCACTTCCAGCCAGGCTCTCAGGTCATAAACTGGAGTAAAGCAAAATGTCAACTCTGAACAGACATGCCACGCAACCGGCCCTCTTTTCAATATTATTAGCTTTCTGCAATCATCGTCTGACTCCAGCTCGATCAAACGCAGCATCCGGTTTCTACAGTGGCGTTTGACTGACCGGCCAAACAATAACCAAAAACAAAATCAAAGCTTCATGCACACATATGACATAAGTAAGAAACGGATGAAAAAGGGACAACCACTGCACAACTCTGCGCGGCCAACAACGGACAATGTCCCACGCAAGATCCCGCGTTTCTTCAGCGGCCTTGAACGGAATGAAAACATTACATTTCTTATTTGGAGCTATTTGATGACGTCAAAAAATACAATACCCGTTTTAATGGTCAAAATCGAGACAATTACTCACAAAAATGTTTCCCTTTAAGCATTACAAATAAATACTTTTAAATATTTAAATGACATTGTTTTTTTCAAACAAATCAATATTATTTGCTTACTTAAACGCCATATACAATGCTGAGATCACTACGGGGCTGTCTTAGAGTGTAGCTGCACTGGCAACCTTTAGGCTAGACTCCAGGAGTCATTATACCAGAACAACATGATTCTACCAGCCAGTAGTTCATTTTTCTACTAGATTGGTGCTACGCTCAGCATTTAGGTGCCAGATTCAGAAAAAAGAGTAAGGCGTACCGATGAATAGGTGCCAGAAACAGCTAATTAAGGTCATTTTCCATGATTGGTGCTGGTATCCACCAAATAGGTGCTGAGGACCAATTTTGGGGCGAGTCAGCTTTTAGGTGCCAGTAATAGCTTTTCTGGGACGCAATTAAATGGCGTCCGATTAATTCTTATAGGTACGAACGAACTGACGGCTAACGATCAGCAGAGGAATTGACGTTAGCAGACTTTCAGAATTTAGAACTAAATGGGGCAAGACAAACGCTAACGACATATTTGAAAGGAAAAACACTATTGGTTCTTTCCATGCCGCTCGTTTCGTCTATTCATCAGATCTGAGCGTGATGCACTAACCTCGCTGGCGTCCATCTGGAAAAAAAAACGTACAACGCTAACCCCGCTCGCTCCGTCCACCCCTCAGACCCGTACCAGATGTTCGGGGCGACCAGCAGTCGGCTGGCCAGCTCGGGTACCGGTCAGATCCAGCTGTGGCAGTTCCTGCTGGAGCTGCTGTCAGACAGCGCCAACGCCGGTATCATCACCTGGGAAGGCACCAACGGCGAGTTCAAGCTCTCCGATCCTGACGAAGTGGCCAGGAAGTGGGGAGAGCGGAAGAGCAAGCCGAATATGAACTACGACAAGCTCAGCCGCGCGCTCAGGTGAGGAATGGATGTGGATCGTGGAATGTACCTATGAATGTATGCTTACCGAGGTGGGCCAAGGGACCAAGGGACTGACACGATGTTCTGCTAATGGGGTTCGGTAGGAATCTTTGAAGGATGATCTCTGGAAAATGTAGTCTGTTTTGTATTGAGAAAATGCGCCTTGGAATGTAACCAAATTTACTGAAATGTGTATCGCCAGTCAGTCATTGAATCACCGTCGTCCTATGACGGTAATATTTTCCAAGATACCTATAAGAAACAGGTAGGTCCGATGTTTTGAGTAAAGCCCAGTAAAGCCCTGGTGACGTCACTGACATTTCTTATATGGAGAATTTCGCCCATAAGGAAAATATTTTACATACGGAAATTTGTATTTCATTAGGAAAAAATACATTCTTTCAATTTCATCATGAAACTTATATAATTTAATTAAAAAACTTGAAATCCTTTGAGTGCTTGTCCCAACCCCTGCTATACCTTTGGTCACGTGACTTCCATGATAAACTTTGCGTTTTGCAATGTTATGACTTAAACAGAAGCAATAAATGTTACAAGCGTATTATTTATGATGTTTTAGGCAGCAATTGTGTAATAACATCCTTGAATTATATACATTCTGCTTAAAAGAGGTCACGTGATATTACCAGATTGTGCTCGGACAGCATCTTCTTGAACTTCGATTTTGAGTACTTTTTACCTTCATTGAGTCCTAACAACGGATGTTTTTAGTTATAAAATGAAGCAATGAATCTATTGAGGGCAAAATTTAATCATTTTTGCACTTTCAAGCCGGGCTATCCTGGCATGAACTTCGGCCGGTTTGTGTGTGAAGCCTATGGTGAAGGGAAAACTTCACGCCCGGCTGACGTCACAGACCTCGGCTACCAAATCGTGTCCGGTGGGGGTCGATATTTTCTATGCAAAATCGTCAAGGACGTAGAAACACTCGTTCGATTTTAGCTCAGTTCACGCCGTTTTCACCGTTTATAATATTCGCTAAAGCTACAGCGATAAATCTATACGCTCAATCAAAAACGAAGCACAGCTCTGACCAAAATATCCCTCCTCGAACGTCACAGGTACTACTACGACAAGAACATCATGACCAAGGTGCATGGCAAGCGGTACGCCTACAAGTTCGACTTCCACGGACTGGCGGCAGCCACCCAGCCGGCCGCCGATCCTGCCGCCTACAAGTACCAGGGCGACTTCTTCATGGGCTACCACAGCTCCTCAAAGCTGAACTTCATGACTCCCCACACGCCGATGCCGAGCAGCACGGGTAAGGACGGCTTGGGAGCTTAGTTTGGGGCATTGTGAATTTGGTTTGATAGTTAAGTTTTTGTGCCGGTTGTTGGGTCAAACGGGCAGTGTATAAAAATTGGAATAACGACATTATTGCGTAGCATAACTTGAGCGTCGTTTTGATTCGCTTTGCAATAAATAGTGCAGGATCTATGTAAAAGCAACACTGATTCGTTTTGTTGCAAACCTGAATTTATTTCGAAGTCGCTATGCAGTCAGACAAAGACATTGTAAAAGCTCGACACTGACAATTTCTGCCTCTCATTTCCAGGGAGCATATTCCCGTCGCCGTCGTCTTACTGGCCCAACCCGAGCGCCAACCTGTACTCCAACATCGCCGCCGCCTCGGGCCACATGACGTCACACCACCCCAGCCACATGACGTCACACATCTCGTCGTACCCGCACTATGCGTGACAGACCCCCACCAAGTGGTGGATATGGAGCCCGCCTGACGAGCATGGCGCGAGCGAGAATTTCTGACGAGGGTGCTCCGACTGTTCCGAACAGCCAGAAATGGCAGTGGTTTGATTATGTTTAGTTTAGTCAATGTGTTATTTATTCTTTGTGTTCATATGTGAGTGTTGCAATGCTTTGTTGCTATTTAATCATTCAAGACTGTGCTGATTTTACATCATTTTACATAATGCTCGAATACTCCCGTTGGGAATCATTGTTTGATCTCAAGATATCCGTCAGTTTATTCCAGCAACCATGTACAAGTGTATAGTCGATATATTTAAACAGGTCAGAAATGGTACTGTGATAATGCCTGAATACTCGTAATATGCATAGCTAGTTTGGCGCTAGGGCCGAGCGAATGTTCACATCTGTAGCAAATGTCGTTGAGCTCCGTGGTTTTGACAAATTTCCGACTCGTGAACTTGTCGAAGTTGATGTCAGTGAACAGGATGGTTTAGTTGCAGCGTTGATCCTTCGAAACCTATGTGTAGGCGTTTATTTTCATCCCTCCTCATGTTTAACCCGCGCACCGACGGGGGTCTGCGCCAACTTAGTACCGACGGGGGGGGGGGGGGGGGGGCGGATGACCGCCCCCCCCTGAGATCTCGAGAACGAAGCAAGATAGCGACAAGCGGTAAACGGCATCGGATACGCACGGACAAGGTCTACAATTTTTACTAAGGTCATTTTCAGGTCAGGTCAAAGATGACGTCACAGGGGTCGAAAAAGTCAAAATGGCGGCGCTAGATATGGAGAGGGTTTTTTCTCGAATAACTTTCGAATTAGTCAAGATAGGAACAAACTAAGGGCATCATCGTGATCCTCTCGTCAATCCGCATCGAATAATATATATGTTGACCTCGAAAGGTCAAGGTCAAAGGTTGACCTCAGGTCACGTGACCTCGAGGTCATCATGTATATCATTCGATGCGTCTTGACGAGCTGAACACAATGAGACCATCCGCGCGGCTGTATCTTGTTCCTGTAAGGAGTTATTGGCAAAAAACCTTTGGTGACCTTTGATGACGTCACATGACCTTACAGCTGCCCAACAGCAAAACAGACCTCAAGGTAGTGAAGGTTGATCGTATGTGAAGTCATGTATGGTATATGGGGCCATTCCGACCCGTTTTAGTGGTAAAAACAGGGAGTTGATTTTTCCCCCATTGACTTATAATGGGGAGGTCGCGAAATTGACCTGACCTTAGGTCACCGACATCAAAATTCCGAGATATACAAATTGTAGCTACTAATGACCTTATAACATCCTGCGACTTTCAAAGGCCTCCGACATCTACTGTAGCTCTGGCACGGTGACAAAGTTGCAAAAAAGTGACTTGAGGTTGGGTCATTCAAAGTGACCTGGTGACCTGACCTTAAAAGTTAGGAGGTTCAAACTTGCACACCATGTGTAAAATTGATGAGAGAATAGTCATACCAAATTTCGCGGCGCTACGCGCCGCGGTTTTCCCGCTATCCGCGAAAAACCTCAGGGGGGGGCGGATATCCGCCCCCCCCGTCGGTGCGCGGGTTAATGTGCGTTTAATTAACAGTTCCTTGTCATTCTAGTCAGTCTTGTGATTGTGCAATATTGTGGCTGATGCTCCATGCCAGAGTTTATTATTTTGATAAGTATTTAAGGTACATTCTGGAGGATATTATGCATGCATGTTATTATATTTATTTACGAGTATGTTTCATAATCATATCGTCATTTATTATTTATTAATGTGTGCTGTAACATATTTGTTAGTCATCTCTTGGGCATCGTTTGGCGTATGTGTCCTTCTTAGAACGTTCTTTTGATGCCATCAAGGTGACGTTTATGCCAACTGGTGTTGTCCACGTATTGGTATTATTTTTGGGCACTTTATCTACATAGAGGTGATAATTTCAGTGTTTGACAGAATATTCAATACGACCCAATGGGCTTGTAATTGAGTACCGAAACCGACCCGATCGGGCAACAAGCATACATCTCGATTTTGTAAATATAGAGAGAGCGCATTGTTAAGTCATGTGTACAAAGATGTCATGGGTGCCGCCGTCTAAATTGAGAGAAATAAAACTGGTTTGAGATGAAGTGATTGTCTCGTATTTCTACCTGCATGTTACCGATATTATTTGAGTATGCCATGCATAGCAAGCGAAGGCGAATTTCAAAGTCAACGAAACTGAAAACTTTGTATCTGGAAATATTCATTTCTTAGGCTCGAGAGCCTGCGCTCGCACGTGCTATCCTCTGGAGTCCCCCTCCCCCATCGCCCCCCCCCCCGTCCCCGTGCTGTCGGCTGGAGGCGGACAATCTGCCGCGACGGGCCGCCTCTGGCTGTCACCGCTGTCAGGACCGAAAGTTCCGCTCAGCAGAGCGAGGAATCACACACTTTTCTGAAGTGACGCGCTGAACGCAATCCGTCTCAGTCTGTCGCCGAGCGACATATCTGCGCTAATCATTTCACAGATGTGCTGGAGTTCAGTTGGTTAGAGCGATGACCCGTGACTGATGCCAGTGATTATTTATTTGATGAAATGAACCGGACTGATGGGACCGTCGCTAAGGTGTTAGGAGCCGGCGGGATATTTATTTATTTATTGTTTATGTCTGATATTCCAAAGACGACTTGAAGTCCAGCAAGCCCACCTGCCGTTTATTTTCAACTGCATGTTTCGACATCCTTACACCACAGTCCACAAATCACCGCAAATGGGACGATTACCCTCAATTCCCTCTCCTCTCCGGCTGATTCAGCCCGCCCTCTACCTACATATGTGGCTGAGTGGCTTGGCCGTGTCCTCACCAGTCTGTTCTGACGAGGACTGGTCGAGTCTATAGTCTGGTCTGGTGAGGAATGATCGGGTCTGTACTTGTATAGCCTGGTCTGGGTTAGGATCAGTCGGGTCTATGTAAGTACATATAGTCGGGTTTTGGGTGAGTACCGATCGAGCCTGTAGACGGGTTTGGCTAGCACTGTTAGGGTCTGGCCGGATCGATCGAGTCTGTTGTCTGGTCGGGTGAGGAGTGATCGGGTCTGTAGCCAGGTCTGGGTGGAGATCAGCCGGGTCTGGACTGATTCAGGGTCTCTACGTGGGTCTGGCTCGCATCAGCAGGATCTTTATTCGGGTTTAGCCAGGACGGGTCGTTCTGAATAAGTCCCGTCTAGCCAGGACCGGTCGCTGTCCCAGTAGCGCCTGGCACCGAACTTCAATGGACCGGTCAGGTCGTCAACTGACCCAGAATCGAGCCACTCCCATATCGATTCCGACACTGACTCCAACTCCAACGAGCAGTATTATTCTGTGACTATCACGTAATCTTACCAAGACTCTGGCACTGAGTCAAACTCCAGCTCAGGCTCTGCCTTGATATCCGCTGATTCATTGGTCGCAGCGTCTTGACTCGCATTGCCGTTCAACGGCAGTGTCTGGGCCTTGTCTGACAGACTGGGGACGGTAAAAACCGTACGTTGACTTGTGACAGGTCACAGCCGGTTGGCTGAGCCAGACACGTAATTGCTCACTGCTGCTGTACTACCGGATTGTCGTGCAAGAGTTGACAACCGGACTAATTATAATAGACTGGGACTGGATGGAAGCATTTCATCGAACGCTGCCGGAGTTGAAATAAAGGCCGGCACAACTTCTGAGATCTATTTGTGCGACAAAATAGCGTCATTCTGTTACTTGCTACACATGGGCTGGTTATAAATAGCAGCAAAGCTATAAACGATCTGCAAGAAAAATACTGCAGATAATTATCTGGCATAATGAGGCGCCACTCTTCTTTTCAATGCGCATTCTGAGACTACCAAAAGTTGAATATTTTGCTCCCAACACGTCCCTGCACCCAGTTTACCCAAAACCTGCTGCCGATGCAGAGGATACCCGCATCCTCCGCGTCACCGCCCGAGCATTAGAAAGCGGCCGTTAACGGTATCTCAGCCCACTGGTTTCTTGAGCCGGTTATCTGCGATTTGAGCTGACCTCTGCGGCACCTCACTGACCTCTGATCCCGACTGACCGCGGCCGACCGCCCCAAGAACCGGCCCAGCTCCCGGGCGGTGGGCAGGGTCCGGTTTAGCGCGTCATCAGCCGCTGTGTGTCCGCAAATTGGGTCGGAAGGTCGGCGCGGATGTATCCGCAAATGCGAAGCTCCGAGCTTCCGCCTGGTGGCTGTCGAGGTCGAACTGAATCTAAGTGTGTCATTGTTCTCCTGAGTAAATGCGCAGGTAAGTTTGCAGAGTTTCATCGGGACAACCGACCCGCGTTATATACCTGTCTGCATTTTAATGCCACCTAGTCATTTGGCGACCGAAAAAAACCGTTTAGGATATTATTTCTTTTATTGGTAGAAAAATGTTAATCGCACTTTCAATAAATAGACATGCATATGTTACGGGCCATATGCTAACTCGGGCAGTATGCAAACTACCCGGGCAGTATGCAAACTACCCAACAGCCCGGGCAGTATGCATACCGCCCGGGAAGTATGCATACTACCCGACCCCTTGGGCAGTATGCATACCGCCCGGGTAGTTGGCATACTGCCCGGGTAGTATGCATACTACCCACCTTTTATCTCACGGGCAGGATGTTTACTCGGGCAGTATGCTGACCGTGGCTCGTGAGGCTAGTTAATGCAATAGCTCGCACGCTATGTCAATGAAAAACACTTTAACCCGCGCGGGGCCGCGCTCGGCCCGTGCCAGTTTTCTTTTTTTTTGGGGGGGGGGGGGGCGGTTGAACACCATTAACTCGACTCCTGTGCCACTTGGCGGCACAGGAGTAAGCTGCATGTAAGATGCGGTAAGCGGCATTCAAAATAACATAAAAAATCATGAAAAACTCCAGTCATGTTTTAAGTCAGGCCAAAGATCAGGTCACCAAAGGTCATCAAAGGTCAATTTTCACCTTTTTAACTTCTTTACAAATCGGCCCACAAGCTCGGAAGCTAATAGAGCTAAAGCGCCGCAGAAATACGCATTCAGTAGCTCTTTTAACGCTTTCTGGAATAAGCCCTCAAAGTTGACCTAAGTTTAACGGTGTAGCCTCTAAATGGCAACAACGCTTATATTAGCTGTTCTGACGATTTATTTTACGGCAAAATTAATTTACCTTAGATAGTCAGACATTGCACCTTTGCCGGCATCGTGTTCCTCTCGTCGAGACGCGTTGAGTTAACTATAATTTGGCTTTTGAGACCACTTTAAAATTTGACCTAAGGTCAAGGTCATGACCTGACATGAAAAGGTCATGTTGGTTATCAGGCGATCCTTGTCATCGACGTAAGCACATCTTAGGTTGTTTCCATCGCTCGAATACCTCTCCATAAAAAATAATCGTCAAAAAAAAACTTCTGCAGAATTGTTATGACCTGACATGACCTCATGGTCATAAAGAAGGGTCACCACAACTCACAAGTGCAATTTTCCGATTCGGTGTGTTGTGTTTACATGGAACCCGATGTTTGAGAGCGTTTAGAAGGATTTTTATCCAAAAAGGAGTCTTTCAACTCTCTCCTGTCAACTTCTAAGAGACTGTGTAAAATTGGCCTGACCTTAGGTCATCAGCTGGACATTAAAGTTCCAATGCATTTAATTTATACATACTTTTATTGTTATTGATCGCTGAAAGTTTCAAAGCGATCGTTCAGTCGGGGTAGCTTGTTCGCCATATATGGCGAACAAGTTCTAACTTTTCTGAGGTAAGGTCACTTGATCTGCACTGCAGTTATCTGACCTTGTTACGCCTTACATGTAAATGGTCTCATGCAGCATTAGCTATTGAAACTGTTCTTACGCCCTCTACAGGTCCAGATGCCAAACCAAAGCCAGCGAGTGATGGAACTATAAACTGTCTTCATTTCAGATGAAAATGACTTGTTGGCCGCTGGCTAATAAACAATTAACCTCTGGGGAAAAATTATATCTTTATATTCCAATTCTTATTCCATCCTAAGATCCTTCAATCGGTAAATCGCGTTTGACGGCAAAACAAACTAAGCTACGTTACTCAGAGAGCCATTTTTATTTTTAAAATGGACATGGAATGCACAACTTCAAGACGAGAAGCGGGCAGTATGCAAACTGCCCAAGCTTTTGGGCGGTATGCATACTGCCCAAGGGGTCGGGTAGTATGCATACTACCCGGGCGGTATGCATACTGCCCGGGCTGACGGGTAGTTTGCATACTGCCCGGGCAGTCTGCTTACTGCCCAAGTTAGCATATGACCCGTAACACATATACACAATGAATAAATAACAACTGTACAAAACAGCACATCAGTAGGAATCGCCCGTGTTACAAAAGCGACACATTTGGCACACGTAAAACCACATTATACCTGCTCATAAAATATGCCCATTATACCTCAGGTTGACACTACTAACGCACAAATGCCAAATGCCAGATTGCAAATGCCTCCACGTACCCACATTGGACCCATTTAGCCCTGTTCATCAAAACTAGCAACGACGTTCGAATAGCGCCGAACGCGCAACAATAAAGCCCCGAAGAGTTTGAGCGCTAGTTTTACACTGGCGGTGATAGCGTTGAGCGTGACAGCGTCATAACGTCTGTCTTCACACGGACGGATTATAGTCTACCCCTGGCGCCTCAGTAAACAGTGACTGCCGAGGGAATTGTCTTTGTCACCTGCTGCTGCCTTCTGTAGTACCGCAGCAACTGAGGTTTCACTACACTGTCATATGAACACCACTTTAGCGAGTGGAGTCACCCGTTAGATAAGCGCTCCCGCCGTCAAGCTAGCCAGCAGAAGCATCACCGGGAACCCGAGCACCGCCTTGGCCGGCATGCCCTGTAGCGTCTTCAGCTTCTGCGCCAGTAGGCTGGAGATGCTGGTGCCGCCGCCGTCCTCCTGCTGTTGCTGTTGTTGGAGTGTCAGCAGCGTAGCCACCTGCTGCGGGGTGTACTGCTGCACGTGGACGGCTTCGACCGTGGCGTATGGAGCGCTATGCTCTGTTGAGGCTAGCACGTGTGGCACCACTTCAACATACTCCTCTGCTTGGACTGGCTGAACATGATGTACCTGCTGGACGTGCTGAGCCTCCTGCGGGACGGCCACCACCGTCTGCACCTTCTCCGGGGCGTAATGCTGCTGGTAACCTGCCAGAGCAGCCTGCTGTAGGGCGGCCGTCTCCGCGTGGTGCGGACGCGCAACACTGACATGGACCTCCGACGCCGGCTGTGCCTCGTCCAGGGTGACCTGGAGAGCCTGAGCCACCCCCTGGGCGTGCACGGGCTTCACGACGTGCTGAACTGTGGGAACGACTTGCGCCTGGACTTGGTGAACTGGGACCTCGTGTTGAACTACCTGTACTTGCTGCACAGGGACTTCCTGTTGTACAACCTGCGCGTACTGGGGCTGCTCGTGTTCAACAACCTGAACGTACTGAGGTTCCACCTCCTGTTGTACAACCTGAACGTGCTCTACGGGCACCTCTTGCTGCACAACCTGAGCATACTGAGGCTGTACTTCTTGCTGCACAAGCTGTGCATACTGAGGCTTGTGCGGTACAACCTGATCATAGTACGGCTGTGCTTCATGTTCCACCTGCTTTTCAACCAGCCGTACAACTTGTACATCACCCGACTGCTCGGGCGCCACTGCATGCTGATAAGCCGTCAGCGCGTGCTCCTGATACTCGGCCAACTCTGACGGCTCCGCACTTCCCACAGCCAGATGAACTTGCTGATGTCCCGGAGAGTACGCCACCGATTGGTGAGGCGCGCCCAGTTGTACGTACTGGGCGGCAGGTGCGTAGGCGGGCTGGACGTACTCTACTCCCGGAGCTGCGGAGGAGAGCTGCGCGTGAGCTTGCTGATATTGGGGTACTGAAACGTATGGCACAGAAGTCTGCTGTACTGATGGGTGAGGCACTGATGCTTGCTGCACTGTAGCATACGGTACTGATGTCTGCTGTACTGAACCGTACGGTACTGATGCCTGCTGTACTGAACCATACGGTACTGAAGGGCGAGGTAGTGATGTTTGCTGTACTGAAGCGTGTGGCACTGAAGGACGGGGTACCGACGGACGGGGTACCGAAGGGCGAGGTACAGACGTCTGAGGTACTGACGGCCGAGACACAGAAGGATGTGGTACAGAAGTCTGCGGTACCACCTCAGCACCCGGCGCAGCCGATCCAAAGTGTACCGAGTTTACCTGGGAGGCGGAGGCCGGATCGGGCGCTGTTCCAGTAGCTCCGTACTGCTGCTGAAGGGCGAACAGCTCCTGTAGCTTGGTCAGCTCGTCGGCCGGAGGTTCGGCCGGGTCTGCCGGACGGACCACCGGCCGGCGCTGGACGGTCACCGCCGGTCGAGAGGGCACAGTCTGGGCTCCACTGTTGACCGGAGCAGTGGCTGCTGTAGAGCCTGCCCTCACGGGAGCTACACTCTCGTCAGCCTGGGCGTACTGCTGCTGCAGCAGGGCCAGCCTCTCGATGTCCGTAAGCTCCGCCGCCGGGGTTTGACTCTGGGTAGCAGTCGACTGTGCCACGCCGACCGGGCGGGTCTGAGCTATCTCCGCCGCGGGCGCCAGCGAACCGGCCCTAACCGGGGCGACACTAGCCACCCCACCCGCCGGAGCGTACTCCTGCTGAAGCAGCGCCAGTTGATCCAGATCACTCGGCGTCGCAGCCGCCACAACCGCCGGCGCGGCCTGCTGGTACTGCTGCTGCAGCTCCGTCAGCTGCTGTAGCAACTCCTGAGGATCGGTAGGACCCTCGGCGGCATCCGCATCCTCGGCCACTGCCAGGATGTCGCTCAGGTATTGCTGTTTGAGCGCCTCTAGACGATCCTCCTCAGTAAGAAGCTGAGCAGGCCGCTGGGCCGGGGCTGCTCCCTGCGGCGCGTCGGCCGATGTGTCCACTCGAGTTGGAGCCGGTGTGCCGGCGAAAATGATACGGTCGTCGGTCGGCGGGGAGACGAACCGGTTCGCCTCGACGTACGGCACCAGGACGTCGTCGGTGAGGCTCAGAGCTGTGGAGGGAGAGGTTAGATACGACAAGGGGGAAGGAAACCATGCCTATGACGATCATAGAATAAATAATTTGGGATCAATGCGGTACAAGAACACAGCTTGAATGGCAATGATAAAGATATAAAAAGAACACAGCTTGAATGGCAATGATAAAGATATAAAAGTTTCCGTAGCATTTTACAGCTATTCCTACTCGAAATAACGTCGAACAATACGTCATTCGTGTTTCGTAGTTACTCGACTGAAACAAACAAGCAAATAAAATAACTCTGGCATAAGTGTTAAACACAGTGCTATCATCAAATACTCCATCCTACTCGCTACCATACCACTCCCACGTGCGTTCACAATCACAACCCTCCCTTTTCTACTACCATCTACATTCTACATACAGTCTATACCCTCATCCCGTCTACTTACTCAGCGGCCGGACATCGGCGAAGACGGTCGACTCAAACAGCCGGTTATCGGCACCGGTCAGGAAGGCCAACACGTACGGCTTGGCTGTGTTGATGGGCTGGTAGGGCGTGGGGCCGCAGCCCTCGCACAGCACAGAGACGCTGATGTCCATCTGCGGGCTGACCGTGAGACGGACACCTGCAGGGGGAGGGAGGGGTAGGTTAGAAATGGGGTACGGAGAGGGATGACGTGTGTGAGTGTCCTTATAGTTCGGGGTTATTATCTGGATCGAATTGGCTCGCTCAGACAATGCAAGACGATATTCTTTGCGTAATATATTCCATTTACACTTCACAGATACGATCAAACGTTACGATTACGACCAGCAAGGCACTGCTCTCTGTAATGCCGACAAAATTTACTATAAATTAAAATACAAACATTTGTCTAAATTAAAATCAAGCACATGACACCATGCGCGGGACTTTACATGTGTGTACAGTGTACACTTACCCGACATATGGAAGAACAACGGGCTTCCCTCCAGGACACGAATGAAGTCCTCAAAGCGCGATCCCTCGATAGTCACAATCGAGATCCTGGGATTGTTCCTCACGACGGCGATTATGTCCGACCTCCGGATTTCACCTGGAAAGAGGCGATAGGTTAGATGCATGTCCAGACGATAGCTCTCACATCGAATAAAAAAAAAAAAACATCAAAGAAAAGACGGTATAAAAACTAATTTTCATTGAGTGGAGTCATTCAGTATGTCGTGGAAATAGCCATTACATGCACAATACTGGCTAAATGCATTTCATTAATTTGTACCTTGCCAGGAGCCTCGGAAGACATCGCTGGCCACAAACGTTCCTTCGACTTCGGCTCTCAGCTGTGAAAGAGCGAACATCAGTCAGACAGCGATAGGGGACGAGTTAAAATAAGTTCATCAAATAAGACGGGCTACGAGCTATTCAGAGCCATTTATATATCGTAACATACGCAGAGCGAAAGCATGAAAAATGATTCGTAAGCATCGTATCTCACCTAATAACATCTCGAAAAACAGCTATCCCCCAAAAGGGAAACACTCTCCAAAACTTTTTTGCCCTACCACACTCGACCCCACCTGGTCACGGTCCCAACTCACCCTCCAGCGAAGGGCGTCTGCGATGATCTTTCCCATGGCGCACTCTGTTCCGAGGCAGTCGGTCAGCTCCCCGGCGATCTGCCCTGCCGTAACCCCAAGCACGGGATCATCCCGTGTCGGAGTCTGCACTCCCTGTGTGGCGGGCACGGACTGGATGGGTGGAGACGGCGCACCGCTTGCCGGGACAGGGGAAGGAACGGACTGTGGAGATGGGGCGATGGGGGTAGCGACGGCGCTGGGTGATGGAGAAGATGGGGTGAGGTCTTCCCTGACCGGCGGAGTTCCAGGAGCGGCGACGGGGACGGGAGCAGGGGCGGAGACAGGGATGATGACAGGGGCGGAGACAGAAACTGAGGCGGGAGAAAGAGGAGAGGTGGGGATCACGGGGACTGAGCCGGTCGACACTCCCTGCCCAGTCGGCAGCTGCGGGTAGGCAGAGGGCGGCACGACTCCCGCGTCCACCGCTCCCGGGCTGCGGACGGGTACGAACGCCTCCTGTCCGGACACCGGCACCAGACCGGCGGGGAGAGACCCGGTCAGCAGCGCCAGCAGCTGACTCTGCGACAAGCCGAGGGAGGAGAGGTCCTCCTGACTGATAATCGCCATCAGCTCGTCCTCGGTAACGTGGGATGGTATAGACGGGAGGAACGGCCGCTGGCCCGGCGTCGGACCCGAGACAGGGACGGCCGGCTGGGCAGGGACGGCCGGTTGAGCAGGAACGCTGCCCGGCTGGATAGGAACGCTGCCTGTCTGAGGAGCGACAGCCGGCTGCACAGGAACGCCAGCCGGCTGCCTCAGCGGTGTCTCCGAGTCCACCGGCTGAGGCAGATACTGAGGACCATCTGCAGGCTGCTCTAGAGGAGCCTCAGGCTCGGCTATCTCGTTAGGCGACAGTTCTTCAGGTTCGGCTAGTTCAGGCTCTAGCATATCCTCAGGCTCAGCAAGCTCTAGGGGGTCTTCAGGCTGGGCAATCTCATTTTGCGATAGATCTTCGGGTGCGACAAACTCAGTGCCTAGTACGCCTTCAGCTTCTCCAGACCCAGCCTCAGTCGGTATTCCAGCCTCTCCATTCTGAACTTCAGTTGGTATTCCAGCCTCTTCATTCTGATCCTCAGTTGGTAGTTCAGCCTCTCCATTCTGAACTTCAATTGGTACACCTGTCTCTCCAGTCTGAGCTTCAGTTGGTATTCCAGCCTCTCCATTCTGAATTTCAGTTGGTATTCCAGCCTCTCCATTCTGAGCTTCAGACGGTACTTCAGCCTCTCCAGTCTGAGCTTCAGTCGGTACGTCATTCTCTCCAGTCTCCATCTTAGTCGGTACCTCAGTCTCCACATCAGTCGGTACTTCAGTCTCAACTCCAGTCGGTACTTCAGTCTCCTCAGTCTTAACATTCATCGGATCTTCAGGCTCAGCAGTCTGAGGCTCATCAGCCACCACCGGCGCGTCTCCGCCGGCCTCCTCGTGGGCAGCACTCTCATCCTTCACTATACCGTGAATGGCACTGATAACCCCCGACACATCACCCGCTCCTCCAGGCAGACTGGCCGCATCGCTCGCCGGCAGCGCAGGACTGTCAGAGCTGGGGAGCTGCTCTTGCTGTTCGGTGACGATACCTTGGATGGTGTTGATCACGTCCGTAGCACTTTGTGCTGGAGCACCAGACTGGCCATACAGGGGTTGAGAGGGGAAGTTCTGAGGTGATGTGATCTGACTGAGGGGCGGAATCTGGGGCTGGGATGGAACTGGTTCGATAGGTTGCACTGGAGAGGGTTCTTGTTGCGGGACTTGTACAGGTTCTTGAGGCTGGAGTGGAGAGGGCTCTTCAGTCTGCACTGGTGACTGTACTTCAGTCTGCATGGGCGATGGCTCCTCAGTCTGAGCTGGTGAGGGTGATTGCGGCTGAACTGGAGACGAGTTGTCAGACTGAACTGAGGATTGTCCTTCAGTCTGAACTGGAGAAGTCTCCTTTGGCTGATCCATGGATTGTTCTTCAGACTGAACTGAAGCCGGTTCTACTGGCTGAGTTTGAGAAGAATCTTCGGACTGAGCTGGCATAGGTTCTTTAGACTGAACTGGAGAAGGCTCTCCAGCCTGAACTGAAGAAGCCTCTTCGGTCTCTGAGACAGGGACTTCGGTCTGAACTGGGGAGACAGTGTCCACTTTTTCTTCTGCTAGAGGGGTCTCCGCTCCCGGAGGAATGACCTCAGCATCTTCAGCGTCCGGTACAGGAGCCACAGAGTCAGAGGTAATTTCAGCCTCTGGGTTCACGGCAGTCGCTGAGCTATCCGCGGTAACTGAGCTTACTCCATCATCTGGGCTCGCCGCTGCATCAGCGGTTACTCCGGCCTCTGGGCTAGGGTCAGTCTCGGAACCCTCAGCGGTCACAGGTCCCTCTGCAGTTGCTGAGCTTGCGTCGGCTTCTGAGCTCATATCCATCGCCGAGCTCATAGCGCTCTCTGAGCTAGCATCAGCGGTCTGACCCTCCGGTGCCTGCTCAGGACTCTCGGCCGGTTCCCCGATCATCACTCCCTCCGGCATGTTATCCTTGATCGTCTGTAGGATGCTCTCCTTATCGACCTCCACCGCTTCAGCCTCTGCTGAGGGAAGGTACCCCTGCTGCTCGGGAGTGTCGGGTCTCCTCGATGGAACGAAACCTGACTGAGATATGGCCGTCAGAGGGACGAGAGAGTCTAGTGGTGCGGTCTCCTGGGGGTTCTGTTTGTTCGGATACCAGAAGAGTCCGTTCGCAGGGAGGACGGCATTGGTAAGGGAAGTTTCGATGTCCTCAGCGACAAGGTCGGTTTCATCATTGTCAGAAGTGGGCACAGGCTCAGCGGTATTAGCATCAGAACTAACCGCGGCTGAATCAGAGCTCAGTTCAGTGGGCTCAGGATCGGAACTCACTATAGGAGTCTGAGAATCGGAGCTCACTTCGGCAGTATCAGAACTAACCTCCGCAGAAACAGGGCTCACTTCAGCAGTCTGAGAATCAGTGTCAGCGTCTGCACTTACGGTTTCAGTATCAGCATTCACTTCGGGAGTATCAGAATCAGAACTCAATTCAGTGGGCTCAGCATCGGCACTCACTTGAGCAGTATCAGCGCCTGATCTCATGGGCTCAGAATCAGAGTTCACCTGAGCAGGCTCGGCATCAGAAGAGCTTACTTCAGCAGTTTCAGAGACTTTGCTCATCTCGTCAGACTCAGCATCTGAGTTCACTTCAGGAGCCTCAGAGTCTGAGCTCACTTCAGCAGTTTCAGAGACTGGGCTCACGTCGGCAATCTCAGCAGCAGAGCTCACGTCAGCAGGCTCATCGCCAGCGCTCACGTCAGCAGGTACAGAATCAGAGCTTACTTCGGCGGACTCAACATCCGGGCTAACTTCGACAGCATCGGAATCTGAACTCATGTCAGCAGTCTCAGATCCTGGGCTCACTTCAGCAGTCTCAGAACCAGAGCTAACTTCATCAGCATCAGTGTCGGAGCTCACTTCAGCAGTCGCAGTATCTGAGTTCGCTTCAGGAGTCTTAGTGTCTGGGTTTACTGCCTCAGGCTCAGCATTGGAACTCATTTCAGCATTCTGGACATCAGAGATCACCTCAGGAGTCTCAGGGTCGGACATCGTTTCCGTAGCTCCCGAGTCTGAGTTTATCTCAGCAGCTCCAGAATCAGAACTTACCTCAGCAGGCGACATATCAGAACTATCTTCCGCAGCCTGGTTATCAGAGATTAATCCAGTCATGTCAGAGGCTGGGCTCATTCCAGCAGTCTCAGCATCAGAGCTCATTTCAGCGGGCTCAGAATCAGAGCTGACCTCAGCTTTCTCGGTGTCAGAGCTTACTTCAGCGGGATTAGTATCTGAGCTCGCCTCAGACGTATCAGCATCGGAGTTCACTTCAGCAGTTTCAGAATCCGAGCTCATCCCAGCATCGGAGCTTACTTCAGCAGGCTCAGAGTCTGGGCTGGAGTCAGGAGTCTCAGAGGTGGAGCTTGCATCAGCTGTGACTGGAATTGGGCTATCTGTATTCACCTCCGAACCGGGAATAACTGCGGCGCCATCAGAATCGGAGATGGGATTGGCAGCGTCAGCATCCGAGTTCACCTCAGAAGTATCTGAAGCCGAGTTTATTTCATCCTCGGAGTTAGGGCTCACTTCCCCGGCATCAGCAGCAGCAGGGGCTACAGCAGCCCCGGAACCTGGGGTAGCTTCAACAGGCTCAGATCCTGGGATCACTTCAGTAGTCTCAGTAACCGAGCTCGCCTCAGCAGGCTGAGCATCAGAACTCATCTCAGCAGTCTCGGAGTCTGAGATCACCGCAGCAGTCTCAGATCCTGGGATCACTTCAACAGTTTCAGAATCAGAACTCATCTCAGTGGTTTTAGAGTCAGAGCTCATCTCAGTAGTTTTAGAGTCAGAGCTCATTGCGGCTGTCTCGGTATCTGAGCTCACCTGAACAGTCTCCGTATTCGGGCTTACTGCCGCGGACTCGAAATCAGAGCTATCGTTCGCAGGCTCAGCATCGGAGCTAATTTCAGCAGGCTCTGAGTTTGAGCTCACTTCAGCAGTCTCGGTATCGGGTCTGACCTCAGGAGTATCAGTATCAGAGCTCACTTCCGCTGACTGAGCATCCGAGCTCACTCCGGCGGTCTCGATGTCAGAATTCGTTTCAACAGACTCTGGAACAAAGCCTTCGGTAGTATCGAAGCTATCGTCAGTAGACTCGGAATCAGAGCTGACTTCAGCGGGCTGAGTATCGGAGCTGATTTCAGCGGGCTCTGTGTCAGAGCTCATTGGCACAGACTCATCAGCAGAGCTCATATCAGCTGGTTCAGCATCGGAGCTTACTGCCACAGGCTCAGCATCGGAGTTAACTTCAACAGTCTCAGAAGCTGGGCTGAGGCCAGCAGTGGCAGAGGTAGAGCTGACTTCAGCGGCTTCAGCATCAGAGATCACTTCAGCAGCCTGAGAGTCTGGGTTCACTGCAACAGTCTCTGCGTCGGTGTTTCCGACAGCGGGCTGAACATCGGAGATTACTTCAGCAGACTCAGTGTCTGAGGTCATTCCAGCATCGGAGATCACTTCAGCAAGCTCAGTATCCGAGTTCACTTCGACTGTCTCTGCATCAAAACTCACTCCAGAAGTCTCTGCATCGGGGCTCGCTTCAACAGGCATAGTATCTGGGCTATCCTCAGCAGCTTCGGAAACTGGGTTCACTTCAGCAGGTTCAGACTCTGAGCCTGCATCAGCGGTCTCAGCGTTGTTGGTCGCAACAGCAGGACCAGAATCAGGGCTCACCTCGATGCCTGGACTAGTTCCGACGGGTCCAGGTTCCTTGCTGTCCTGAGATTCCTGGAGGCTGGTTACTGATTCGTCATCCTCAGGCAGTTGCTCAGCTTCTGCAGTGTTGCTGACCAAGCCTTCCTCGCCCTCATCCGCAGCTGACGATTCCTTGTTATCGTCTGCCTGGCTTCCTGATGTGCTGTCGAGAGTTTCACCATTAGTGTACTGAGCTTGGAGCTGTGCCAGTTTTTCTTCATCAGACATTACCGGAGCTGGCTCTCCCATATCTTCAGTCTCCTTCTCCGCTAGTCCTGAAAGATACTCTTCCTTCAACTCGGACAACTTGTCGGCATTCAGTTGCTGAGACCCGGTACCGGTTGTTTCAGGGACCTGCTCTTCGGTACTGGAAATTGCAGTGGCGGGTTCGCCTTCCACACCGGCCTGAAGGTTCAAGTCTCCCACAGCAGCACCAGTATCTTGGGTTGACGCAACAGGCTCACTAGCATCGTCCATTTGAGGTTCCTTCTGCGCCTCTTCGACGGTGGAGACGTCAGTTGGCTCGCTATCTGTGTTCGCAGCGTCGGCGGTGACATCAAAGACATTAGGAATAGCTGGCTGAGCGTCATCGGGTGAGGTCTCTTCGTCAATCTTCGACTCCGAAATCGCATTGGTCGGGCCACTGTCCATCGTCTCTCCAACAATCGCTTGAATGGCATCCAGGACGCCAGCCACAGATCCGATACGAGATGGCTCTGGTGCATTGAAAAGCGATGCATCGATGAACTGGAGGTTCTGTCCAGCGTCTTCCTCGTCATAAGCCTGAACCGGGTACTCAATGCCGACTTCTGTGCCAGGGGTGAGATCCGTGGATTGCTGAAGTTCGTTTTCACCATCGGTTGCTGATGTCTGATCCTGCACGGGGCTTGCAATCGACTCCTGAGAAGTATTCTGGATTTCGGGCGACGTTACTGGCGCTTGGTCTTGGACAACGGCCTGAGATTCTTCGTTGATAAGTTGTTCCTGAGGAACATCGACAGGGGTGGTCGCTTCACCAGGAGGAACAGGAGAAGGGTCTTGTTCAGCGTCTGACGGAGCAACAATAGTGTTGGGAGACTCGTTGACGGTCTGCTCAATCGCATCCTGAGCATTCGGAGTGTCACTAGAAATTCCATCCTCTTGGGAAGTGATTCCGATACCAGCAGCTTCCTCAGACGTGCCAAGGATCTGATCATCATCAACAGCAGCAGCCACATCGGCAGCTTCACTCGGAGAAACGTTGGCATCACTCGGCATCTTATCAGAAGTCTCGCCCTGAACCTCGACCATACTGCCTTCGATACTTGGAGCCTGGATAATAGGATCCTGGGCAATATCTGCGGTCTGCACAGCTTCGCTAGCCTCCGAGTTCTGGGCAGAATCGTCAGAAATCTCCGAAGAGACACTGGCAGCGTCAGAGTCCGAAACAGTGTCCACAGCTTCGACGCTTGCTTCATCCTGGACGCTGTCAGCAGTCTCGGAAGTTGCCATGGTCTCAGACACTGGCGGAACGGGCTCGGCCGTATTACTGCTAGAAGCGACGTCGTTCATCGGAAGGGCGCCCTCGGTGTCTGCAACTTCCGGGATGCCGTCGGCCGATACGTTGTCTTCGGATTGGATAGGAGCCGGTTCTTCAGATGCAATAACTGTTTCTGATGGCGTTTCAACTGCCTCAGGCTGAATATTGTTGGGGTCATTGACCTCGCTTCCTGTCACCGAGACCTCCTCACTGTTTGCTTCAACCTCGTCCTGGTTACCAGAGCCTTCGACTTCTGCATCACTTTCTTCAATGGTTGTCTCATCAAGCGCAGGAGTGGAAGAGTCGCTAGCCATGCCCGAGTCAGGCGTATCCTTCTCCATCAATTCCATAGCTTGATCTGCATCCGACTCACCAGTCTCATTGGTTTCCTTCTCGGAATCAGCCGTTTGCGGAGCATCGCCAAGCTGGACACTCACAGCAACCGTTTGCGCCGGCGGCATTCCAGATTCGGCATTCTTGTCCTTCATGACGAGCATGGTTGTTGCATCATTGTTCTCGCTCACTTCCGGCGCAAGAGGAGTTGAAACGTCATCCGATGCATTGGACGTCTCAGCGCTCTCACCAACTACAGGAGCTTCCGCTTCCTTTTCACTAGTCTCGTCACTTGTCTCTTGTCCAGTTGCCGTTCCGCTCGAGCTCTGCGTCATGCCCATGCTGTTTTTATCGACAAGCACGGCTGAGCCTGGCTGGTTCTCTTCCTCGTTTACAACAACAAACCTATCCTTGAGGGCTTCCACCTGAGCGGCTGTAAGGGGACCAAGGTTGCTCTTGAGGTCTTGAATTTCGTCGGCAGTCAACGACTCGGTATTCTGATCAGGAGAGACTTCAGTCGCGGCAGGAGCAGCTGCCGCTTGGTTCTCATTAGCTGTCGCGTCTTTCACATCATCATTAGCATCAACAGTCGCTTCAGTGTCACTGGTCGAAGCCTCTTCTTTCACCTGTTCTTCTGACTTCTCTCCCTCTCCCGCCTGCTCAACGAGTTGTTCCTTCAGCACCAACGCTTCTTGCGCTGACAGGGGCCCCTTCTCCGTTCCCCTCACAACATCGTCACCTTCAGTCGCTGCCGCGGTGAACGGTGGAACAAACGGCTGGTTCTCCGGAATGAACACCTCATCTGCACCGTTTCCTTCGTCGGCGGACTCGACATTGGTGGCAGTCACGACGTCAGCCACAGAGGGCGGCGGGACGTCACCGGCGGCCGCCTGTTCCTCAGAGTACTGACTGGCTGCCACACCAAGGGCTTCAAGTGCCTCGGCGGGTCCCTGACCGGAGCCTTCCACAGTGTCCATCTCAAGGAGGGCCAGCTGCTTCTGCTCCACGGCATCTGCGGAAGACGAGGGTACCGCCACATCAGATAAACTGACACTTAACGGTTGTGGGTCGCATTGTACGCAGACGAGGCTGGATTAAGTGTTAACAGGTTTGTTATTTATATACACTATGGGCAAGAGGCCGAAACAAGCACATCTTCCCAAGATGACTTCGTAGCCTGACTCACTCAACGATCATGATAATATAAGGTCATTCATACCAAACTTCGCACAAGTATTTTGATCCCCGTAATAGCCCAACAGCCACCTCACCTCTGTTGGTGCCGTCGGCGACGGTGAACATGCCGACTCCCTTGGTGACCTGGTTGGTATCGTCGAACAGCAGGCGAGTGATGCCGATCAGGTGGTCGGTGGCCAGGGGGATCTCCAGCAGGGGCACCACAGTGCCCCACGGCTGCTCAATCTGCGTATGGAATAATAAGGGAACGTCAGGACGCGTTTAACACTCGTTTGCGGGTAATGTGGGAACTGGGAAGACGGTTCAGCTTAAGTAACGACAATCAAAACAATGCTTCACGGATAACAAATGAATGATACAAAGCAAGCATGTCGATGGTGACACCAAATTATCTCATAATAGCTGCATCTCGGTAGAAAAGGTAGAGAATCGTGTTCCTCCCGCTTCAAGTCATGTCTCCAAAGTGTCGTTGCATAAATCAATACCAACACATTTCCACCCTGCCATCACGTACCGCCTGCGGGAAGGACTCTGTCGCGGCGGCGCGGGTCTCCACCGGTCCGGTCACCACGGCGTCCAGACCGCGAACTTCGCGGGCGATCTCGGCGTTCCTGCGGTGTCCTGCGCTGCCCAGCGCGATGACGATGTCAACTCCCCGCTCCTTCAACCGCCGCACCTCGCGCTGTACGGCGGGCACCTCGGCCACGATCGGCATACTGCCGGCGTCCAGCAGCTTTTGCTGCGGGGACAGAAAGGATGGTGAGGTAGGGCTGATTGGACGTGATACTGCTGAGAAAAACTTAATTTCATAATATAATACATATATTGCATAATATCATAATGCCTTGCATAAGAATATATTACTGCATTATGCGATTTATTCCTACTTGAGGTTTGATTTCGGACAGATTTAGTAACCAAGAACTTTTTGTTCTGCAAATGCGACGGTAAAATTCGAACGATAAAGGTCTTTTTACTCGGAATAACTATTGCTGGGCAACGCACAGTTCCTAAACAGGGGTAAAGGCTATGCTACCCGAATGAACCAACGTGACAAGCAGCAAGGCGTATCACCCGGTATGCCCGACCCTGAATCCAACTCACGTTCAAATAGCGCGACACAAATCCGACGACTCCGACAGTCTTTCCGCCGATGTCGACGACCGTCGAGTCGGCGACGAAGCGGCGCAGCAGCGAGGACCTGATGTTGGACACGACGAACATCTCCGGGGAGCCCACAACGCGCGCCATCAGCGAGCTGATGCCGCCGTTAAAGTCCTCCTTCGAGAAGGCCTGTAAGGCGATGGGGAGGGATGTGAAGGTAATGCGCGGGGTAAGCACGGCCGGATGCCTGGTATTAGGTACCGATTACGTGAACGTCATTAGCACTCGAAACACAATATGAATTGCTAGGAACATTGCTAGATAAAAGGCAAATCTTGATAAAAATTGTCAATACTTAACACAATACCAACAGCATTGTTGTAACATTCATAAAGTGCAGGTGCAGCAACAAAATAGAAACATAGCGAAGGTTGATTCAACTGTCTCACAAAATTCACCAGCGTATCCATTTCTCCTCTCACTTTTCCATCGTTCCACCATCCCAACACAGTCCCATTCTCCCACCACCCTCCTCGAATCCCACCTTCCCACACAGTCCCATCACCCCACCGTCCTCCCGTTTCTCACCGTGGCCGCCGGGCTGACATCGGGCACCCGCAACTGTCTCCGCATTGCCCGTCTCGTTCCGCCGGTGTTTAGTACCAGCACATTACCCTGACCGTGACTGCGGGCTAGTCGAATGGCATCGGCTACCTGTTGTGTGTATACGTCCTGTGAATAAACGCGGGGAGGTTAGATGAATAGTGATTGAGATGGCCTGATAGGGAAGGGTGCGTTCGACCTGTTTGTGAAACTAATAAGTGATAACAATTGATATCTTCTGATGCTGTTATGCATTGCGCATTTTGTTGGTATGTTGGCATTTGTATCGTAACGGGATGATTCGGAAACTGATTATGATTCACGGAGCTATTTATACGGCAGTCTCATCTGACATCTCACCGTAACAAAGAAATGCAACGTATTGTTCCAAGCAATTTTATGAGCAAATGTCATCCGTATCATCTCCAAGACCTGAATCCTAGCGATAGCTCCAAAACATCGGCGTCCACGTTTAGCGGCGGACAGCGCACCGTTCCGCAGCACGATATAGGTCACGTCACGCCGCGGTCACCGGGTTGACATCGGCCGTCGCTGGCCGCAGTAAGCCCCTGTTCACCTACATCACTGCAAACCGGGTGGAACAGAGAACCGGTCCGACTTGTGGCTATGACAAGCCGCCAGACAACGGCACGTTAGGAAAAATTGGAGGACGGCACGGAACCGCTGCATCTTTTACATTGTTGATGAGGTAAAAAGTGATTGATGTCGCATGCACTTTTAGCATATTTTGGCTATGACAAGTTTGGGTATTTGGCTTTGCATTCTTTGGACGTTTGACGTAAATTGCAATCATCGAGCATATTTGCAGCTCCTTTATCGCAATGGGTTCAAGGGTGACCCATTTCAGCCATCATAGGCCACAGCAAAAAGGGTGTCTGGCACCGATAATGTAAAAATAAAGGAATTGTTTTACGCATCCTAACCTACAACAGCTACGTAGCTACAGGGGTTTTCTAGGACCCTTTTCTCCAATGTATCAGAGTGCCCCAATGCACCCCTCCCTTGTCATCCTGTCCACCTCACTGACCTGTTTATCGGTGACCGGGTGCTGGTACTGAATGACAGTCAGTTCAAACTGACCGCCCTGGCCGCGTGTCGCAGCAGGCAGCAGAGCCGCCAGCGCTGTCCACCACAGCAGCCGACACATGGCTGGGACGCGTCCGACCCGGCCGGGCCGCGCCGCCTCGGCTGCTCTGAGAGCTCCTCTGGACAGGGGAGAGAGGTGCTGGGGCTGGTGCTGAAGTGCTGGTGCTGGGCGGCAGATTCGCACCACGCAGCTCGAGGGTTGTTGAGCTGCTCCTCTTCCTCTGTGGAGAAAAAATCGGGATGTGATAACTGAGAGAGATGCCGTAAATCAACCGTAATGCATTGCTTATGTAGTGAATCTGGTCGGTGCTACATGAGGTTACTTTGGTAATGTGCCATATTGTCTGGTGGCTAAGATATGACTTGACGAAAATATGGGGCTTCACCTACATCGATCAAAGACAAATGACATACTGTCTCATTTCAGCAGGCACTTCTACGATGCAAAAGAATGAATTAGCACACAGATATATCACGGACGAATTATAATCATATACACAAGACTCTAGCAGAGTGCAGACCAAGATTCTGAGTGCAGACAAGGCTCACATCAGTTGTAACACTTGCAGAGTGGCCTTGGGTGCGGATAATACCTCCTAATACGGTACTGTAATGTTATGCGATAGATGGGACAGCGCATGTCATTCGCTACAGTATGCAAGACGGTGTGAATTGACCCTGACATTCCGGTGGCGTATGGTCTTTGATGTATGTCCATGCATGAACAGAGGCGGATTCAGAAGTGCCAGGACGGTTACGTTGCTCTTTACGTTGCTCTTTTACTGGGATTATGGCTTTGCGAATAGCGGAAACCCAACACCGTCTCAGGTGTTGGTTTGCTGATCGTTTAGGACAACGGTATGAATTGCAGCTACGATTACATAACTGTCAATGTCGCTCTTTATTTGCATGGTTTGATGCTCCCAGAAGTGTTATTCACCGAAGTTATCGGTGCGATGGGAAGTGGGTAAACCACTTAGCACATCAGGATAATAAAAAACCATTCGATGAACATTCAGCACCGTATAGATGGCCAACAGCAACAACAACTGCACCTTACTCTGGACCAACACTGGGCCAGCCACCAGCCAACGCTAAGGAGGACCACCCATGTCTCCCCGTCTCACCCCACATGCCTCATATGTCTCACCTTCGAGTATCTCCAGCCAGCGGAGCGCCGACGCTCCGAGATGCACCGCCAGTGACAGACTGACCCCCGCTCTCAGGAGGTGCACCTGGTGCATTCTGCCAGAGCAGTTTCCGGCCGACTCCGGGTCGGGCGGCGTCTCCGGAGCACAGAGCTGGGGGCAGTGACCCAGCCCGGATGGACCGGCTGGACGGGCGGCGGCGCGCGCGCTCGGCTGGTTCCGGCCGGTTCCGGAGCTCACTGACGGGTCACTGGGACGGGCCGGTGTGGGACGAGCCGCCGCCGCCGCCGCCGCCGCCGCTGCTGCTGCCGCTGCTGGGGTCCAAACTGGTCCCGGCAGACCCGTCAGCGGTCGGGCAGCACACCTGAGCTCCGCGCTGACGCGTGCCGGGACCGTGCAGCCTTGGTCAGCGTCTGGTGTGCGTACTGATCCGGCGCGGCGGCTGCCCAGTGCCTGTTCGGCGGTGGTGGTGGTGGCGTAACCCGCCGGTCTAAGAAGGTGCGATAGCTGATAGGAAAGATGACGTCAACGGGGTGCGCTAGCGTCTGAGGGTCACTAGAAGGTCAGGGTCGGCGCACGTGACGAGAAAAATGCGCGTGCGGCAGACACACGTGAACGGCAAAGGTGACTCCGGCTCAGATTTATAATCTGATAACAGCCGCTACAAAGGAACACAGTGAAGAATACGACTAGGAAGTACAGGGTGGAAAATTATTACGCGAACATACTTTTTCGTCTTATAGCAATGGAAAAAGCGGCGGTGACATGAAAATTTTATCCTTTCATATATTCCTATTTATGTGCGATACACTGACAAAGGCGTTCAGGCATAATTGACATGAGCATGTCAAGCACTGTTGGCCAAAGCTTAGTCCACGCCTCCTGGAGCTGTCTGGTGAGGCAATCGATGTTGATGGCTAATAGCAGCTCTTAGACGCTCTCCTGAAGAGTCGCCTGGATATTTTTGATCAAATTGAGGTCTGGGCTATTCCGAGATTGACCATTATATGCCCAGAAGAAGAACAGGTTCTCAAAGCACCAGTCTTGCGTCTTTTTGGCCGTGAGAGGAAGGACTTTATCAATCATGAAGAAGAGTTTCTTTGCGTCGGGCACAAAAGTGCGCTCAATCATTTTGCCCCTTTTGGTGCATTGGTGGATTAGATAAAGAGACTCGTCGGAAGGATGTTCCACTAGTTGTATACTTTATTTTTGGTTGCCTTTTTGGTCACTACATGCAATTCTGACACCATCCGGGCGCTCATAACACGCTGATGTGTGTTCCTTTGCCGGATGTTTGAAGGTTGGGACGGGCGGGACGTCGGACGCATCAGCAGCCCCCAACGCGTTGTTCTGCAGGTTTGACGGATGAAATAGCTTCGAAGATGTCTCACCCAACCACAAAGCCAGCTGCCTGTCCTCCTCTGTTCAGGTTTGCCGGTCTTTAGAAAACTTAAATTGACAATCCTGCTGTTAATTCATGAATTTTGGCCATCTCGATTGTTTGTACGGCTTGATTTTCGAATTTTCACGGATTTATGTATGAATCGTAATATCTTAGATCGGGTACCCGGTCATAGTAAACCATTTCGCCTGTTTTCGGATCGACTGTTGTCGTTTGGTCGCGGAAATGGTGACCACCCATTCGGCGCTTGAATTCGCCGAGGTGTTACTGCCGCCAACGGCTTTGCTTTTTAAGTCCTCTTAAGTTTTATTATGCTTCAACCAAACGTGTAATTGAGTAATGCTGGTGCCGAGACCGTTCCGAGTCCCTTCCGCACCAATCCAGTCAAAATAATCACAAACGCTTTCCCTGGCAACACCAAATTGCGATCTTTGCACATTGTGGTCTTGTGCAGCGTATGGCGTCTGCACCATTCGAAGTCGAGACGTGTTGTAGACCTTCCAAGTCATTTTTTCAAAGTAAGGTCACTTTTGGTAGATGATGCGACAACACACATGACCAATCATGTTCCATGACAGACCGCGCTCATACAAAATCTCCACTGACGGGCGAAATTGTAAGAAAATACATGTTCGCGTAATTACTTTCCACCCTGTACCTACAGACTGGTCATCCAAACCTTGGAATAAGTTAAAAGTAGCGTGAGCAGGCTCTCAACTTATTGACGAGGCCAAAATTGAGACTTCACTGTATCATTTAGTGCCTACCGTGTATAAGGTTAGAAACAAGCGAAAGGGTATCAAACGGAGGCTCGGCATCGACTCTCCACATGAGACGAGACCAACGAGCCACGACTCACTTGTTGCTTTATGTTATAGAAAAGTCATAAATAAAATAGGTAGAAGGCTCATATGACCAAAGCATGCATAATTGCATAGGAGATCGATCACTAATCGCGAGTGACGTAATGAAGTATGCAGCATCATCTGCATCAAATCCCTTCATAACACAGTGTTCTTTTACACGAATGGCAATGTTTTGTTGAATGGAACACGCAAAATATGTTTGTCAGCGTATGTCCAGAAACACGTCATCACCCGTACATACACCTTTTCCGTTAATGAATGGTAGGTAAATAGGTCGTTCTCTTACTGTGCCGCTGGTTTTCCCATGTTCAGCGGGAGATAAGAAGCTCAGAGTCTAATCTCCGGTCCAAGCCTCTTGCGGCCGTAATTCTAAGTGGAGCAAGAATAGGCGCATTAGCCACTCCGAGCACCAGTGACGCGATTATCTTTCTAGTTAGTTCAGCACAGACGGGGAAGATCATGGACTGATTTATATAACGTTCCCGTCTTTACGGTCCCAATTTACCGGGGCGTTACAGGAGGAGGGACTTGATTCTTTGGCCTCTTGTTGAGGTGCAACTGAGCGGCTTCGTGGGGATCTGAAGGCGGGGTCCATGGCAACCGCGAGGTCAACACTCTGCACCTCCTCCAGGGCAGGGTAGCGCAAGCACTGGGAGTGTCAGCTTCCTCTCGGCAAACGGGCAGAGTACGGACTCTATACTGCCGGTCGCCTCACTGCCCAACTCCATCGGCCGGGAGAGCGCCAGCCTGACCCCATGGCGACACCGAGTGAAGTTGTGCCCTACTCGTTATCCCCGTTATCCAGCAGTCGAGAATGATCCAGCCACCCCTTCCCCATCCTCCTATGACATGTGGGGACGGAAGATGAGCACAACCACCACTTCGGTCATCTCAACCCATCAACACCGTTCACCTCCTCACCACAAAACGGCGCCCCACCGCAAACCCTACCGCACACCATGTTATTCAGCCAGTTCCTGGAAAAAGTTTCACTTGTCATGACGTTCGCCCGTATCAGTCGTGGCAGAGGACGCTCCGTTTCGCTGAAGCGCGGTCACCGCCTTCCCACGGCATTCCTAGGTCGGAAACCGGCTGCCCCCAGCCTCCCCTCCCCCGTCTGACCGCCCATGGCATCCGCCCGGGCCGGCGCGGTGCTCCGCTCACCCAGTTTCGCGGTCCGGGCGGTGACGGCTCCGTCTGGGATGGAAGGCTCGGCGCTCGGCAGATGTGATGAGTGACAGGAGGTTGGAAGACCGGTGGAGAGTCGGACATCGGCCTCTGGGGAACGGTGGGATGGATGGTGAGTCATGGGACAGATGAGAGTAGGGCACACGGAACTGGAAGACATGATTGAGTCATTGAAAATGCACATGTTTCGTTGCATGGCTTTTGGGGTCGGTTTGGGATCGGATTACAGCTTCAGTGATTATAGATCCGGATGACCTCATTCATTGAATGGAAATAACCTATGGAAATTGCGACAGGCACAATTAGTTCAATTGCAGTCATTGCTGAGACAACACTAGAACTAAAGCGTTTCTACAGAGTATTGAGTATCTATCCCGCGAAAATCAGGCGTTTTATTTCCAAACTATTTATTCATGCAAGCGTCCCGCTGACATACATGGTTTGGTCTCAGTTTGATCAATATCATCCAACCATGAGTGAACGATATACATACACGGAACACATTTGTCCCGTTTATCTATCGATAAACAAAACGCCACAAAGCGATCAGCTACTACAACTTTAAACAGCTCACTCGCTTTCATCCGACACCCATCGAAACTACATCAATCAGTAGCAGTTTCGACCACAATCGCGAAACCGGTCTTTCACAGCTCCTCGTTCCCAAACATCCAATCGGTGCGCGTTACATAACACACAAAACATGCACGAATAACTGTGATATTCGAACACATAAAACGAACACATGCAGCACCACACGGAGCAACCGCTCTGTTGGCCACATAAAACTATCACATATGCCCGGTGGAAACAATATCATACTATACGTGAGACTAATCCTCGTGACGTGGCACGGAAAACTACTGCGAACTGACAGTAAGTTATCGCTAGCGTAGCCATCCCATCAAGCTCTCAGAGCTAGCCACACCGTCGCTACAGATCTGAATGCTAGCCAGCCTAGTTTGTGATCATCCAAAATACGCTAACGGCGATACGCCAGTTTATCGGAGCGTTGATATATCGTTCCCCAAGTCGGGGGATATATGGGGGGAGGGGTGCACAGCAAGCGCAACGCGACAGGTACTGAATGCTTTATCACCGGGGTGTACTGAGAGTAGACAAAGCACGGGATACCACAGCAGTGTGTACCATAAACGGTGAGCATGCTACTGTAGTCAGCTGCTTGATGCGATAGTTACCACAAAAGCTGTAGCGGCACCATGGTGGTACCTTGCAGTTACCGATACACTAGCGGTACAGTTGTAATCAACAGCGATAAAATAGCACCACAGCGGTGCAATTTTATCCCAGCAAGGCGGTAGTGTAGTGTTCCAACGGTAAAGCGACGCGATCTACATACGCGTGAATAGCGGCACAACCGCTCGGGTTTGTGAACACACCTGAAAGGGGCTGGCGAGATAACATCCCTGGGATGGAAGGCTGTCACATCAGACTTCGTAACAGCTTAGAAGCGAAAAACAGGAACGGGTGATCTATAAGAAAGATGAGAATACGAAATGCGTGGATGGGATTGGTTAAATATATCTTTGGATAACTAACTGGCAGCGTGAAAAGAGAACTGGCAGAAGTGGTGGATATAATACCCTGTTCAAATACCCTACCGGGACGAATCTTGATGGTAAGAGTTTGCATAAATTAAACATGTGGGATGGTGCAATGTAAGCAATATACAAATGGCCCAGGCATGTTTTGATTGAGTCTGAATGCACAGCCGGAAGACGAGAACTTGAAGCAAGCCAGACAACTTCGCCGATAATAACTTATGAATTTCCGCAAAAGCAGAATCGAAAGCACCAATAGCTTCGATGAATATCTGTGAGCCCCAGGTACTGTGCAGCTTTTAAACGTTAGCCTATTTACCTAAATCCTGACAACCGGCCCGGGGGAACAGCGATGAACCAAATACGACGACATCGGCAAAAGTATGCGATCTGCGATCTGAATTTACATCTGTGAATTCATGACAGGCTGACGACTGGGATCGTCCGGACCGCCGCACCGGCCCCCGCCTCGGGCCAGGACGGACTCTTACGTACTTCACAGTGAGGTATGTGTAACGCGCCGCGTTAAAGCCCTTCAGTGACTCCGCAGCCACCGCCGGTACCGCTGCGTCCCGTCACGACGGAGTCCAGAGTTCTACCACCCACCGTAGCAGCGCGCTTGCCGACGGAGTTCGCCAGCGACATCTGCTGACAACTTCTGCACCGAAACTAGCGCCAGCTACGGATGGCCGTCGCACTGCCGAGCCAGCGACCGACTTGTCCATTCGTTGTGATCGCACGTCCTATCACTTCACAATACGTACCGCGTGACGGCCGCCCCGCAGTCACATTACGTTACGCATCGCAACCGTCACGTCACGTCGCATCATCCTCAGAGCCTCAGAGCCCTAGAGCGTCGGCGTGCGCCCGGGTCATAGTGTGTTTCCGTTCTGGTGAATCGGCACACCGGCCACCACAACAGCCGGCGGCGGGGACTGTCTCTGCGCCGCTCCGTCCTCCGCTTCGGAACGCTCCTCGCCCTCCGCCGGCTGCTGGATACTACACGTGGGCGTCTCCCCGCGACTGCGGTTACCGGCCCACTCTTCTAATCTCGCTCCGTACTTTTGGGCGAGAGTAGCATCACGGCACACCTGTCCAGTGACACAGATGCCCGAGGGTTCCTCTCGGCCGCGGCTCGGGTGAAGCCGACAGTAGTAGGCCAGCATACACGACACGGCTAGAGCAAAGAGTATCACCTGAGCCGCCAATCCGGGGTGATACCACCAGAGTGTACGGTTTGCGTTCAGATACCACAGAGTGATCATCGCCGTGTTCTCGGCAAAACACAGCAGGTAGTAGAGCGTATACTTGAGCCGCGTCGTCTGGTCCTTGACGTTGAAGAAGGTGAAGATGTAGACGGCGCCCAGGACGAGAACAAACAGCATCTCCTCGCACTTAGTGTAGCACGCCTGGGTCTTTTGGCAGATGAGCCAGATGGTCATGAGCACCCAGTGGGTGACCAGTCCGATGGCCACGTACACGGGGAAGAGCGAGGCGCACAGACTGATGGCCAAAACTCGTGAGCCTGGAACGAAGGCAGGGAGGTGTCAAACAGGGGCGTGAGTGGAGGTGGGGTAGCATAGAATCGCTGACAAGGTTATGTACAGCGTATACTGAATTTTTTTATGAACCACTGGTAGTTTGCCGTGGATATATTATGCATAATCGCCGGCACTATATTTTGCATAACACCACGATACTTATAACAAGAAGTAGGACAACAGATTTAACTACATACATAGCGATTCCAGATCCTGTAATTCCATGTATTTCCACATACAAGCAAAGATACGAGCAACTGCGGAGTGCATCTGTTATCGCAAAATGTAAGCGCCGGCTGACAAAGAATCCAGCTCATCTGCCTATCAAGGCGACCTCTATATCTTTTACTAGTCACTCGGCGGCGGGGTACCCATTCATAAAGAGCAGCCCTATTCGCAATAACTCGGGGGACTCCCACACTGAGCCCTGCCGGGGACGGGGGGGGGGGGGGGGGGCAGGACGCGCCTTCCAAACTGAGCGACAACAGGGCTGTGCAGGGGGAGGGCGGCCGGTTCCGCTCACCGATGCTGCAGAAGTGCCAGAAGAAGAGCACCACGGTGGCCGGCGTGGAGAGGTTGTTCTTGGCCGGAAGGCTGTAGCGCAGCGAGCGCTGGTAGCTGCACAGAGACCAGGCCAGGGAGAACAGGCTGGTACCCACCGCCGCTACCTGTAGGGTGACTGGGGAGACGGGGTAATTAGTGAGGATTAACGAGGGTTCACGGGGTAATTACGGGGGATATACGGGCAACCAGGGTACAAAGGTGTAACGAAGGGACACAGAAGAAACATAAGGACACAGGGTAATGAGTAAACGGGTAACGAGGGGCAGAGTAACGAGGGGCAGAGTAACGAGGAGGAGCAGGGTAACGAGAGGGCGGGGTAACGAGAGGATACAATGATGAAGTTTGTCGATACAAAGCTGAAAGCGTTTAGTGGCCTCCTGTCAATCATCCTTCGGCCTTCCTCAATGTCCATTGTCTGTATTACCTGTCTTATCAAGTGTCGATAGATAAGAAACAATACCTCTCCAAGAGCTTGAGCAAACAATTGACACTTGAGATACAGATTGGTTTGAATGACAGCGATAAGAACGAACAAACAAGTCAGAGCCTAGGTAGTAAGCTCGTCTTTGAATGGCTCGAATGGATAGTTTATCGTAAAGGAACAATAATTTTCCCATCCACCAGTTTTTGAAGACAGGCTAAGCATCAACCTATTTCAATAAAAAACTTGCCAGAATTTAAATACAACCCTTCAGTATCAGTCAAGGCACACCATCGCAACTTACGCATCAACCGCACACATCTGTTCCGTCTTTCTATGAGCATGCGCCTACATTGAGACAAACATGCGACATAGCATAGGCCAGACTATATCGGACAAACAGCACACCAGACGCAAAATGCACATCAAATACGATAATCCGGACTAAAACCGTATCGTACCTCAAGGACGTATCACATGACTTCATTCGGCATTCGAGAAACTCCATCCCGGCAATGGTGCTCCTGCAGAGTTCAGTGCGTGCGTTCTGTCATCTGTCCCATGAGCCTTCGCAGCTGCCGAAGTTCTATCACGGTTTCTATGAACTCACAACCTAATGTGCCGCTAACAACCAGCTCTCCTTCATGCACCATGCAGCCCGTGTCCATCCCACCGCCAACCAACTCAATAAACACCTATTCCGAACTGAAGAAAAAGTTGTGTGTCCCAATCAACCGAACCAAATCGCGGACCCAATGTCCTTTTGGAGTTGCCGCCACGGCTCTATAACACCGATAAAAGCAGTCTAGTCACTAAGCAGGTACCGCGAGCGTGGAATGAAGAAGTGAATCCCGACACGTGCCAAGAAGGAGTCTTCTCGGGCACATCAGCTGCAATGGGGAGCTCAGGATGCCCTGGAACCGCGAGATTAGTAAGATGGGGGTCGGGAGGTAAGATTCCAACTGCCTACACAGCACATATTCAGCTGGTACTTCTGTAGGGCAGCAAGATAGAGCGAACAGGTAAGTACCAACCGTCTTAGCAGGTAGGTAATTCAGGAAAAGCATGCGCTCGTAACCAGTACTAAGCAAGGACTTCTCTGGCGATAGAAACCACTGCAGGGTTAGCAGGGTACACAAAAGCCAGCCCCAGGGCAGCCTAGGATACCTCAGACATTCACGATAAGAATACGACAGTGCCCAAAAAGGAATCACACCAGCCGGCTGGGACACCTGACAGATACGATCAGAATACGACGGCGGTCACCATCAAACCAAATACCAGTCTACATATACACACTTCAATATCAGACATGACACACAAATACCGGACGAACTTCCAGCTATCCATCGCTCCATTCCCCTCACTCACTGTTCAGCGGCTCCGACGGCTTGAAGCGATTGTGCTCACTGGCCAAAATGTACAGCTGAAGTACCAACTGCGGGGCCGATTCCATGAATGACTCGAACAGTCGCAACAGTGTGGCGTCCGCGTCCTTGTAGATCATGTAGATGTAGTTTTTGATGTGGCCCGCACGGTCGCCCGCCCGCTTGGCGCGCATGCTCTTGATGCCGTAGACCATGGCCTCGATATACCTGAAAAGGGAGCGGGGTAGGGAGCAAGGTCAAATTAGGTTGAAAAAAAAAATTGGAGATAAGACATGGAGGAGCGCTGCTGGTTACACTCATTGAATTGATGCATAGCGAAATACACTTTTAGGAGATACCTACATATCTTACAGCTTACAGGGCAAGCCAAACTTCAAAGAGCCTAATGAAACGAAAATATGGCCCGTCATTTCTAAAACATCATTAACAAACGACAGCTTGTGTTGAAAGTAGCTGAAATGACATGAGCTGAAAAATAAGGCCGCCTGAAGAAACGTCTCACGGAGATGTTGCCAACATTAGAGTGCCTCAAGGTCGGCCACGGTCACAGTTTCAGACGTCACCGCCGCTGCGCCTCGCAGTGACTCTCCCGGTTACCGACCTGAGCAGCGGCCCGAGCTGCAGCGTCAGGCAGATGATGCGCAGGATCCACTTCCACATCGGTACTCGGGGCCGGGTGGGTGACGGCGAGCCGGGACAATCGGTCTGTTCAGCGCCGCCGCCGCCCTGGTCCGCGTCGTTCAGATACCTGGGGGCAGGCGCACGGGAACGGGTAATGAATGCTGATATAGTCACAGGCCGATACATTGAACAGTAAAGATGCAAGACATCCACGAGCCAAAAAAGGATGGCTGCAAGAAAACTGAATGCTCAACACTAGTCAGATATTATACACAGAAGCGGCAAAGCGATTGGCGAGGTTCCATTAGACTTATCCCAAACGATATCGACGCTGATAACGTGAACACAATTAAGCATAGACCCAAATTCAAGTACGTCCTACGGTACGATACGGTACGAAATTGTTTTCGAAACGAAAACAATAAACGACTAGGAGCCGAAAAAACGTACATCGAATTACAATGTCTAGTCGTAAAAGCTTGAAATCATACACGTCATACGGTAGTTCATATAAGCCAGCTTGCCGCCGCCTGCGCCACTCACCATCGCAAGCTGAAGCCGGTCATGGTCAGTGCCGGTACCAGGATAAACACGAGCGTCAGCGCGAACTCATACATCCTCTCCGTCCTGTAGAAGTGTACCGCCACCCACACATCCGTCCCCGTGTCCACCAGGAAACTGACGATGGACAGCAACACCACTGCCAGGTCCTTGTAGGTGTACTGCATCTTCTCCGGCAGGGCATCCACCTCGTCAGCCGGCACGACCACGGGCACGACGCCGCCGTTGGCGGAGTCGGCCAGCACCGCCTGCAGGGGACGCAGCTCTCCATTGCTGTTCCTCCCGCCGCTGCCGGTGGTGCCGTTAGTGCCGGGCGGAGGAGAGGGAGGCAGCATGGCTGGAGTAGCTCAGCAGACAGCTGTGGTGGGATCTGGAGACTAGCTGGCTGGCTTCAACTTCTAATGTAGTACAACTGATTTTTTCAGGTGTGTAGAGGCTTCATGATGCAGGATGCTCAGATCTGTGGACAAAGAATGCTTATATGCTTACTCTGAAAAGAAAAAAGCAAGACAAATTCCTCAGCCCTTACCAGTAGTTGGGCTTTTATTATGTATATTTGAGCTGAGACCAAGCCACTAAATCAGCCCACAGAGACAGTCAGCCACACACCACTTCCACTGAGAAAATGGGTCACCAAAATTAAAATGCAGTAATAGTATCTAATACACCCAAAGCACAGCCTGGTCCTGTTTTGATTGATTTTGTTGAATAAACTACAGCCTCGGTCCCACTCCAGAGTCCAGCTGGCATAATAGCGACCAGCTGCGAGAGGCAAGCTGGGCTGGGCCGGGTGTTGTGTTGAAAGGCCTGCAGACTGGGACGAGACGAGTGACATCCGTGACAGCGTGCCCCATGACACTGGCTTGCTGAGACAAGGGACGGGTGACTTGCACTTGACAAAGGACTGGCATTTGGGATAAGAGATGACCAGGTGGGCTGGAACAACCCTTAAATGCCAGTGCCCTGCGGGAGTGTGTGGATTTGTGGAAGTTTGGACAGGTGGAACTGACCTTAATCTTAGTAAGAAAAGCATTTGTTTTCCTCTCCCACAACAAACCCTGAAGATTGTTAAGCCAACCTGCTTTATGATCAAGCAAAGGCCATCATTTTCAGAAATCAGAACCACACGCCACATTATACAGTAGACAATCTTCCTGCCCATTTCAATTTGGCCTTTTTTGGCACCTGGCCTCCCAAAATTACGACAATATCAAATTTGAATTGGTCATCTTCTTCAGTCTATCAAGTCGACACTCAAGTTGTCAACCTGAATTACTGGGATTACCTAGTACCTACCTACCTCAACCTTCTTTCATTCAATTCAAATTCAATTCAAGCCGTATAAGATTCAATTCAAATTCATTAATCCATAACGTCAACAACACACTAAGAACAGGTGGGACAGATAATGCGCAGCAGTTACAAACAACGATAGCTATCGGCTACTAATTCAAAGTTAGCCATTTCGGTACACATAAGCAAGTGCATTACACAATGTCTAGACAGATATGCTCAGAGCACAGGCATAATATGCTTTCTTATAATACAAAAAAAAAACGAAATTCAAGTTCAGCTTGGGATCATGGTGGATGCTTGGGCGAGAGAGTATATCAGAGCCGTCCGGTCTCCGGTCTGATCGCGGGCGTTCGGGCACCGTGCATACCGGCCGCCGGGTTCTTTTGTTGTATTTATACCTGTTCACAGGCTGGGCTGGCAGGCAAGCTCCTACTGGTTATCCAAGCCAGCTGCTCCTACTGGTCATCCATCTTACCAGCTGTTTCAAATTCCAATCGGCAGCCCATACGAACAACTATGCACTATGCAGGCTACATTCCATGCAAGCACCGATCAGCTCTAGCTTCGGCTTATTCGCTTCCGTATCCCACTCCCTAGTAACTCGCCCCAGTCTGCCTGTGTCCTGCGCATCGCATCTCCCGGCCGGTGTCACTCAGCGGCCAGCGGCCATCGCAGGGATCGGCACGCAGATCAGATCCCTGCGGGGTTATCTGCCAGCCCTCCTGCCCTCCGAGACCTCCCAGTTGGTCCTCCACCTCCGGCCTCCAGTCGGGGTGAACCCCAATCATCCATCATCGGTCAGCCGCTCAGCCGCCGCGATGGACCGATTAGCGGCGCCGGTCTACTGCTGCGGGTTGGGGCTCAGGGATTGCCGAATCCGCCTCGGCCTGTGGGCTGTGCGTGCTCTGTATACTTTCTCCTGCCTGCGGCAACGCCAGCTGAACGCCGGTGCGACGTGGCAGTGTGCGGGTGAAACGGCTCGGTGATTGGTCCATCGGCGGCCCACCCGTGTGGCGCCACCCCCACGGAACTATCCCGGCCCGTGGGTCGGGACGCAAGAAGGAGGTTGCGCCGCACCGAGAGGGCATTGACCACATGTTTACGACTTACGACGGCAGTGGAAAGGCGGCCCAGCCCGTGACGTGGCAGTCGTGGAGAAGGGACCGGCCAGGTAGGAGCGTCTGCAGAGAGGGGAGACGTCGGCCGTCGGGGGGGGGGGGGGGGGGGGGGTTCTGCCGAAGACCTGGCTGATCGGCCTGAAGGTTACGGTCCATTTATCGAGACGGACAGAAGTGACCACTGACCAGTGACGACCATAGACGTACGATATAGTGAATTGTGCGTGAAGGGACCTCGGAGCCCTTCTCAGCGGCATGTGTGAGCCAGAGCCTAACGGCCTGAAGAACGACTGCTACTGGCGAACATTATGTGAGTACGAACGGGTTATGAATTTACAGTTCGGGTTAGTGCATGTATGGCGAAATGAAACTAAATGCGGTGCATCAAATTTCCCATGTAATCCAAACACTTTAAAGCTTTATAATTGTATACATCGCATCTGCAATTGTTTCCGCTTATACAAAATATATTGCACGGTGACTGGACACAAACAGTAAACGTCAGTACCCCACTCCTTCAAACCTCCATTTCTACATATTTGAGGTCGAGCGTCAGTTGAGGACAAACCTATCGAAATGCTCAAAATGTACTGAGCCATTGCACGGATGCAAAAGTATCTCGGTTTTACAGCACCTTTGATTTGACACTAGTAGTAACGGGAGTCTGCGATTACGCTCCATTTCTTACGACTTCTAAACTTATCGACAAAAACGCACCCATCGGGCACAATAAATTACGATATACAAGCGTACGAGCTTCAACGCTTTGCATAACACTGGACATAAACAAATATGCGTGCAAATGAGCCTCATCACAGCGGACAGCGCCTAAGTGTAACATTCCCGCACTTGTGATGCGGTACGATCTCATAGCACTAACAGAGCAACAGCCCCAGCCCTTCCCAGTCCTTCCAACCAGCACTGGCCAGGAAAGTTTCGCATATTGCTTACCTCACAGTAACTGCATTCATATTCCTCACCGTAACTGCAGGCCCTCAGACGACTCGCAGCTAGCTGGAGCAGCTGACCCTGAGCGTACAGGCCCAGTCGGGCGGCGGTTTGGCGTACCCCGCCTCCTCGGCTACTGGCTGTTCAGTGAACGGTCTGCTGAGGACCGTGTGTAGCTGACGGAGAGGCTCGAACTCGCCCCGCTCCGCCGCCTCGGCCGCCTCGTGTGCCAGCCAGTTGCGGAGGATGTACCGCGGGTTGGCGCCGGCAGCGGTGGCCCTTCGCTGGGTGTCGGACAGCCCCTGACGGTCCATCTCTGTCCGTAGGTCTGTCAGCCAGTCCGACCAGCCGTTGGCAGCGGTCAGAGACGGGAGCGCCCAGAGGCCCTCCACCCGGCCGGCCTCGAGCGCCTCCAGAGACACGTCACCCAGCTGACGGAACGTCATCGTGAAGTCAGCCCGAGCCGCCAACATCAGCTCCAGGAGGCGATCGGCCAACTTCACCGCAGACGTGCTCCGGTTGAGGCCGAGCTTCCGAGACAGCAGTTCAGCACGGTGAGTCTCATATTCTTGCACGTAAACCTGCAGAACGCGCTCTATGTGGCCATGCTCCTCCTCTGGTATGACGGGCATGAGCGCCTCCCAGAGTCGGCACAGGTTCCACTGACCGACGCGCGCCTGGTGGGCGAACCGGTACACTCCGTACGAGTCAGACGAGTTGGATATAAAGTTGGGGTCGTACCGGTCGAGGAACCCGAACGGCCCGTAGTCGATCGTCAGTCCCAGCAGGCTCATGTTGTCCGTATTCATCACGCCGTGGGTGAAGCCGACGCTCTCCCAGGCGGCGATGAGACGCGCGGTGCGTCGGCCCACGTCCTCCACGAGCCGGCTGTAGCGGCGACCACCCTCTCTAGCCGCCGCCTCCGTGTAGTACCGCTCACAAACAAAATCAGCCAGTAGGCGCAGACTCCCTTCATCGCCGTCAGCGGCCAGCATCTGCAGAGAGCCGAAACGGAACCAGCAGGGTGCGAGGCGGAGCAGTACGGCGGCGCGCTCCCGCCGCGGGCGACCATCGTAGAACGGGTCCCGCAGTAGGGTGTCGTCTGAGACCACCAGAGCTCCGGCGCGAGACGTCGGAACGCCTGTCGAGCGGAGGGTCACGCAGGTCGGGGAAGTGGTGGTCAAAGGGTGGCTATTTTATACAGACTTCACTGTGAGTTGAATATTAATGTAAGGTTTGTTACAGAAATTGAGCAACAAGTTTGATAAAAAAATGAGCTTCAAAACATTGAACCGACTACAATTCTTAGATAAGTTAGTTGTAATAGTAGTCATTTTAAATAACTTCATCATTTCATATTTAAGGGTTACAAAGCTGGTGCAAGAGATATTAAGTCCAAGATCATTGGCATAAAGCAACCCACTTGTATCCTCACCTAGATGATGCATGGCCTCTGAGCAAAGAAACTCCCTCACTGAGGATCGCACAACAGCCCTGCCATCGGCGAACCGCGAGTAGGGTGTCTTCCCAGACCCCTTCAGCTGCAACTCCCATCTCTCTCCAGCCCTGAAACATTGCAAAATGTGATGTCCATTGGAGAATCATTCATGGTAAAACAACAGGCAACGCCTCTGCCAGCATATATTTTCATTAACACTGTCCAAACATCATTATAAATTCAGCATAAAAGTGTGAATAGTAACACAAACAACCATGTGCATTGTGCAATCACTCCACAAAAAATAAAGTAAACTAAAAAACAAAAACAAAAACAAAAAGAGAATTAAGATGGAATTTAAGCTGTGGTAAAGCACTGACCTGTCTGTGCATTCTCCAATGAGATGAGCTCTGCCATCACCTAGCTGACCAGCCCAGTTGCCAAACTGATGTCCACCATATCTGTGGGCCAAAGACATAGATCCTGGCACCTCTCTGTTCCCTGACAGAACGTCTATCAATGTTTTATCGCTGGACATTGCTGGATCCAGCTGCAGTATCTTCTTGAAAACATCAGAGGAGAAACAAGCAAGGCTGGTCTCCTTCAGTGGTGTAGGAGATGCAGCAGAGAATATGGCTCCCTTGACATTAGGTCTCACAAAGTTTTCCTTCACTGGATCTATTGGGAACTTCAGGTATGTCTTCTGGGCCCACTTCAAAGCTTTCATTTTGTTTTTATTCAGCCTGTTCTGCAGCCTTCAGTCTCCTGAAAATAGACATAAAAGCTGGTATTAATTATTGCAAGTTTGCAATTTATCCTTAACACCATAAAAAACATAGTTAAATCAAATTCATATATTTTTGGAAATATTAATCCCTTGACTTGCCCTCAACCCATTCAAAATCAACCATCATTCATAATCAGCCAAGAGAAGGTAGTTGAGACAAAGTGAGTGCAAAACAGGCATTGGTATCATGATATACTCATAAGTAAGAAGTGTGGGCACACTTGATAGAGGGTTTAATTGTTGTTGTATTCAGAAAGCTAAAATAAACAAGTGGACACTGCGAAAACTAAGGGTTGGTCTGAGTGCCGAGAGCTCTGCACATTTTGTTTCCATATCTCGACCAGTATAAACTATGAACTACTGTAAAACATGTTAAGCAAACTTTTACACATGAATGATGTTTAATTTCCTATCAATGTGATGAATATGATCTATCAGATTCAAGTGCTGCTGTGACATACCCATGGCACATGCCACATATCAATACACAGTCATTGGGGAGGATATACTGCATATCAAATTCAATTTTCACAAACAATACATTCACAATGCACAATATCATCCCACTTGTCACATATAATAAATCAATCATACAAATAACGTCCCTATTTGATAATTGAATCAAGGCCGTATAAGAGAATTGAATATCAATATTGAATTCAAGACCATTTATAGATTGAGTTGAGATATTGAATTGGCCAGAGGGGTGTTCACGGGCACCGCACACTGCTGCGTGCGGTGTGTGCGGTGCGTCCAGCAGGCGTGGGGGTAGGGGATGGGTAGGCGGCTCTGACGTCACGGCTGCGTGCGGTGGACGGTCCGCTGTGGCCAGTCCCGACCGGCCACAGCGATCGCTGTGTGCGGTGACGGAAGGCTGACGTAGGGCCGCAGTGGGCGGAGCTTCGAGGCTGTGTGCGGTCCGACCGCACACAGGGTCCGTGAACAGCCCTCCGAATTGGCCTATTGCTATACGGCCTATACCAAAAAACTTAAAGTAAGCGTCACATGTAGTGATCTGTAAAATGATTATCCAAACGACCAATTTTTCAGGAGCATTATATTTTGCTCGAATTTCAAGCCTACTTAAAAAAATGATTTATCAAGCTGATGAAGCTTGATTGAGTTTTGATACAGCACTCTCAGATGATCTGTCTTTCGGTTTTTGTGTTTTAGTGTATGTACATCTTTCCTGCAGAGGGTTCTTCAATCTTCGTAATTTTGATGCCGTGTTAAGCTGCTCTAGCTTTCAAACGAAACAGCTGCGGGTTATTTGTATATCTTTTGAGCTACCATATGCTTCCACTTTTACCTGTAATTGCCTAGCTATAAAGTGATTTCCTTTTCCAAGGGATTTTACATCCCGTGCCTGAAGAAACTGGGAATTTGTAATATTTCAATTTTGCTATTTTCTTGTTAGAGGCTGAGGAATAAAGATGAGAAATTGATCCAAAGGAATTTACACTCTGACTCCCTATAGGTAAGCAAGATATTATCTTGTCGCTTGGCTGCAAACGGAGCCGAACACGAGTACTGTAAAGGGAGCATGGGAAAATTCAATTATTATGATTTCATTTATCAAATATTAAAACATACCTTAATAATAGACGCGTTTACATAGGGTTTGTTGCAAGCTTATATCTCCGTCCGTGATACCGTGCATCCGTGATGGTGCAAAAGATGCCAATGGTGCTTAACAAAATGATCCCCTCTAAATATTTGAAGACCACTGCATCAAAATTATCGCCAAATTAACCAGCTAGAGCCTCGGCAAATATGCTATGTAAACCGGGTTACTGTCTTGTGGATGCCTGGAAAATTGGTATGTAGGTATGCTCTCTTTCTGATATAAGCTGTGATCAAGTCATCTTAATGGAATGATAAAATTTTATCATTCATTATCATCAAATCATAAAATCACCTTTTGCAGTTTTGTCATTGCCCAAAAACTTAAATCACTTAAATTAGTGTACAAATATTAAGCTCTTAAATAGCAATAAAACTACCCACTCTTAATCTTAGATGACAAAGTTGCGTGGGGCTTCAAAACACCCTGATAAAATGCTACGAAGTTAATAAATTTGGTCTCTCAAAAAAATCACACCAGTTATTCTCACACACCATATATTAACCAAGGAAATTGTCAATATGCTCACCTACCCTTAAAAGACCAGGTTGGTAAAATATAAGCAGAAATGCTAAACCTTACCGAACCTAACTTAACCTCACCTAACCTAATTGGCGCCTGGCTCAGGGGGTGGTTGAGTGTTACCTACTTATAAATGGTTTGGTGGAAATATTGTGTATCAATTTGTTGTGTCACTTTTGAGCTTGTAAGGATTTCTTCTTTCCTTTTATGACCTTATTTGGATAATTCCTGCAGTTCTTACTTCTTGCAGGGTGTTATAAGCTTGTATAAATGTATAGCCTTATGCCTTGCTTATGACCAACCCCTTTCCTTGTTTTTCCAGTAGGTCAAAATATCTATCTAGATTCTAGACTACATGTCTGATTACTCACCTGTTCAACTCACCTGATGTGATTAGATGTGATTGACCCTTGGATTGACCCTCAGTTTCCTTTTTGTTTCAGTATTTCACCATGCTGTGTGGCCAGTGTGAAGTTGCTAAAACTGCTGATGATGAGCCCATTTCCCCATCAACTGGTGAGTGTTAACTAGTAAAAAGCAAGTGTTTTTCAAACACGCTTTGAAGTCATTTACTCGTTGTTGTTGTTGAAGAGTTAGGGCGCACAGCAGCTAAGTCATTTACTCATCATATAAATATTTTTCATTGTGTATGTATAGGCTTATTTTTGATTGCATGGTAAACATAGAATGATAAGCATAACAAATTAATGGATAGAGGCTAGGATAAATGGATCAATAAATGAAGAACTGAATGTACTTTTAACTGAATTGAGTCGGCTAATTTAATATTGATTAAATGAATGCATATTGGTTGGTCTGAATGAATGAATGAATGAATGAATGAATGAATGAATGAATGAATGAATGAATGAATGAATGAATGAATGAATGAATGAATGAATGAATGAATAATTGAAGCTGAATCTGAGAAAAAGAACCTGGATGTCTTCAAAGTTGGGCTCATGTCACGCCTGAAAGATCCAGCCAGTAACCGAGGCAAGGCACCAAGTTTCGGAAGTGCTGGAAAAGGGGGCCAAGCGTTTATGTCGAGTCAGTAAAACACATCAAGGTGTGCTCCAACCTTTTCTGCTAAATGGCCGACCGCTGAGCCGAGGTCGGCTCTGATATCGCCAGCTGCCTGATCGAAATGGCCGCACCCAGTCCCAGTCCCAGCCCTTTTTCATAATCTCGTCTGGCCGACTGGATGCAGTAGGTTGAAGGGCTACTGAATCCTCAGACTGGCAGGTCATATTTCTCAGGACAGTTGTAAGCTGGCTCCGTGGCCGCCTGTGGGCCTCATTAAGGCTCGCAGGCGGTGCGCAAATCTATTCCTGCGGTGCCCGCACCCGCTGAGACGCGACGCTACAGGAGGGTGGGGTGGGCGTCCAATAACCGCTCGCCCCTCCCAGACAACCGGCCGACTCCAGTGAGAAAGTCCTGGCCGAACTCAGCAAAACAACATTCCGACTCTCGCAAATTCGTTACGCTCACCGGCCCAGTACCCACTTATCATATCGATTATCGGCTGCCATTTTCCCATTCGACGACGGACGAAATTACGGAGTCGGCGGGACCGGACTCATCAAAACAGGGGAGGGAATGCCGACCTGAGCCAGGGGAACCGGCACCGGTGGGGTGCCGGGGCTGGTACTACCTGGGCAAAACCAGACCCGTCCACACGCTGATAAATCGCAACTTTTTTGCTGGAAATCGGACATAGCGTGCAAGAAAGGAAAAAGATCTACTTTTATTTTTGTAATGCTATTATTGGCCAGGCCGGCACCTTGCCTGTCCTGGCGTTGTCTGTTTCGTGATTACCTTATCCAGCTATATCGATATCACTGACTTACTATTCATCCCTCGTCTCCGCCGTACAGTGGTGCTCCCGGAGCGTCCCGGCGGCCACCTGCCTCTGCACGACCTCAGCCACGCCTCCATCACCATGGACATGCTGCACCGGCTGTGGCAGGACGAGCTGCTCTGTGACGTCACTGTGCGCGTGCAGGAGCGCCGATGGCGCGCACACCGCGCACTGCTGGCCGCCAGCTCACCGTACTTTAGGTGAGGGGTGGTGTGCGGAATATAGTGGTATTTCAGCGCTGTGATTCAATGTTCAACTCATAGGAGATGGGGGAAACAGGTGGTCAGTGAGCTGCAATAGGGGTTGTTAGCTGCGGTAGATGAGATAAAAGAGTGGCGGCTGAGAGGCGTAGCTTCGATCTCCATTTCGAGATTCTTTTTGCAGGCTTCATTTCGGCGAAGATGATGTCTTTCGTCAGTATTTGATCGGTATTTTTTCTTTCAGAACTATGTTCACAAGTGACTACATAGAGAAGGAAGAAGCAGAGATACAGCTGAATGGCTTCGAGAGTGATATATTTGACTCCGTTCTCAAATACATGTACACAGGGTATATTGAGGTGAGTTAAGTGATTGTTTAGAGAAGATCCGGCTTGTCTTCGCGTGCATACTATGACCTGGGATAGGCGCGTATGCGTATCTAATGAGCAATGCGCCGTTAAAGCGACTCGAGTGAACCTTGTTGATGCTCGGTCGTAGGTCATCTTTATTCGGCAGCGCTCCAATAAAAATAGCAGCTGTCTACAAATACCTCCCCTCCTCCCTGACCCCCCCCCCCCTCCCCCCCCTCCCCGGGCAGCTCTCCGGCGACTCTGTGGCCGCCGTGCTGGACGCCACTGAGCACCTGCAGCTCTCCGCTCTGCGCCACCATTGTCTGCAGTACCTCGGGGACGCCGCCGCCGCCGACACTGCCACTGCAGTGACCGTGTGGCGGCTGGCGCGTCTCCATCGAGCCGCCGACCTGGAGCGGCGCGCGCTGAGGCTCATCTGTGACTGTTTCTCGGTGGCGGCGAGGGATCCCGACTTCCTGGTGCTCTCGGAGCGGGAGATGGCGGACCTGCTGACCGCCAGCTATGTAAACGCCAAGGAAGATCAGATTCTATATGTACGTTCACTTTGGGAGAGGAGCGTGAATGCTGTGGACTGGAGCCATTTTTTTACAGGAAGTGCAGGCATACCTCAAAAGCCCTGTAATGGCCTGGAATTTGCAGTTATGCTTATTTTTATTGCAATTCCGTTCCTGATTTAATGCCAAAACATTGACCCAATTCTCAAGCTATTCCCACTCATAGGTAATTTGTACCTCGATGATAATACATAATAGCAAGTCAGAAATCCACCCCTGAAACAGCCATTATAAAACTGCCAGTTCATTTGGCAGCGTAGTTTGGCCTCATGCCCAACTGTCGGATCAACGTTCTCAAAATACCCCGGTCATTGTTATTGTTGATGTCCGTGTTTCCGGCCAGGCGCTGTGTCGCTGGACGGAGGCGGACTCCGCCGGCCGGCAGCCCGCCTTCCGCCGGCTGCTGCGGTGCCTCAGCGTTACACAGCTGGATCCCTTCAAACTGAGGACGGCTACCGAGATACACGAGTGTTTACAGGACCCAGGTAAGGGCCGGGTCAGTTGGGAAGGCTTAGCCGAGATAAGTGTGTTTTGACCTGTGCTTCAGTGCTTTACAAATATAGTACGGACATTTTGTGTTCTAGGTCTACTGCAGAAGTTA